AAAATCTTGAAAGCAGCTAGAGAAAAATGACACCTATAAAGGAAAAAAAATCAAATGACAGCAGATTTCTCATCAAAAACCATGGAGGCAAGAAGGAAGTGGTACACTGTTTTTCAAGTGCTGGAAGAAAACTGTCAACCCAGAATTCTATACCCAGAAAAAATATCCTTCAGGAATGAAGGGGAAATAAGCCACATTCAGACAAAGGAAAGATAAGAGAGTTTGTCACCAGTAGACTTACTCTAAAAGAATGACTAAAGGAAGTTCTCTAAACAGAAAAGGAAAAAAAGATCTAAAGAGAAATGAAAACTTACTAATGCTATATTAATGTTTATAGGAACTTTATTCCCTAAATGGAAACAAGCCAAATAGCCATCAACCATGGATCAACAATGGAATACTACTCAGCAAGATGAAGAAACAAACTAATGATACACACAACACTGATAAATCTAAAAATATGCTACATAAAAGAAGTTGGACACAAAAGACTACATGCTGTATGATTTCATTTATGTGAAATTCTTAAAAAGGCAAAACTCTAGTGACATAATATCAGTGATGGCTAGGAGCCAGAGCTTTGGATGGGGGTTGACTGAAAGGGGAACGAGCTGTGATGGGCTGGTAAATGTTTAACGATCAGCTTTCAGCGGAAAGGGAGCCCTGATTTGTAGCATTTGCCAATTTCTATGGTGTAATTGTTCCTTCCTTTGCCAGTTTCACATTACCAACGTCACTGAACACTGAGTAGGGATGAGAGGCTAGCTAACAATTGGATCTCACTAGGTGGTATGATTTGGCTCCAGCACACCTCTGGGCACAAGAGAATGTTGTGGGATGATGGAAATGTTACATATCTTAAACAACTGTATGTATTTGAAAAACTTATTAAAGTATACATTTTAAATTGGTAAATTTTAATGTAAATAAATTATACCTCAATAAAGATTTATTTTTTAAATCGGGCTCAATAAAGATGTATATTTTAAAGCAGGCTCAGGTGTAAAAACAGCAAGGAATTGTAACTTTTTATCAGATTAGCTTCCCTCAGCCTTCTGATCATCCATCCTTGATTTCTTTTTATTGTACACATTGAGCAATATCCTTGTTGAGTGCCATGTATCTTGTTCCCAAGAAAGCCATGTTCTATTAATTGATCTCCAGAGCTCTCTGTCTGTCAGACCCTGGCTGCCTCTCCAACCCTTCTGCTCAGTACAGTAATTCAGCCACTTTGATTCCAATGGTCAGGCACCCACCACTGGCCCGTTTCAGCATCCTATCATCCTCATTGCTGTCAGTGAGCCTAGTTCTGTGACAGCTCAGCCCTGGCCTACAGAGCAAGGCCATCCCCGAACTTCACAATGAAACTGGTGCTCGTCTCCAGTGCTTTCTTTATCACTTCAATAAATAGAATTTGGGCCCTCTGATGGAACATAATCATTTGGTGAATTTTCTGGCTTTACTTAGCGTATTCACTCTAACATGCCCACTTTTTTGAGCCTTTTGATGCCTTCTTCCACGATATACCATGGCAGTTCTGGCATTTCTACTTCACTTAACGTGGGCCCTGGCTTTCTGCAAGTTTCCAAGAGCCATCCTATCAGAATGTCAGCAACATCTCTTGAGGTCCTTGTCACAGTATGAAGTCCTGTGTCATGGGAAGGTGCTCTCATATTCATATACTCTCCCTTATCAGACTTTATGTCCCACTCTCCTTGACCCAATGCCCTCAGAATCCAGACCCACACAGCTTTTTCCATCTCCAGCCCGTACATGCTGGCCAGGCCCCCTAGTGCCTCTGGGCATAGTGCTCCCTTAGTGGGGCTCTTAGCTGAGTTCTGATGCACTTAATCCCACTTACTGGGGGCCAGGAGAGGAGACTGGGCAGATCTTGAAGGGAGTGCACATTGTCTTGCAAGATCCCTCTGCCATTTTCTAAGATACTTATGCAGGAGAATTTGGGGATTCAAGATTTTTTCAAGCACCAACCCAGGTGCCCCATCCCATGTCTCAAGTTCTCACTCCTTCCCAGTGGAGCTGCCAGAGTTAAGAATTCAAACTTCTCTGGAACTCTGCTACTCTTATAATTAAATTCTGGACCTTATTTTCAGCTATTTGGGTCCTCTAGATGCAGGAGATAAAAGCCTCTTCACAAGCTGCCAAGGAGAGCCTCAGCCTTTCAGTTAGCCTTTAATTAGTGACTGATCACCCTCAGCCTTCCTTCGTCTTCCTCCAATGCATTGCTAGCCTCCAGCAGCAGCCATCCAATTCTGTTGTCTTTATAACTTCTCAAGCCGGATACATATCCCCCACTAGTGCATTCCCTTCCCCCAGGATCCGATCCTAGTGCACCTCTAGTGAACGTTTTAACAACTGCACTGATCCAGCGTGCCAGAGGCCATCCGTCCTCTACCTACCACCAGTGATGGGGTCCTCACTGCTAGTTGGCCAGCAGGTGATTCAGCTTTAAAATCTCATGTTAGAATCTGCTTCTTCAGTACTCTTGGCATCAGTTGTTGCCAGGTTGTGTTCCTGGGAAACATATTTCAAGATGGAGATTTGAGTAAAGGAAGTTTATTAGGGCATGCTGTTGGGACCAACACTACCTGTGAGAAAGTGAAGGCCACAGGATTGGACAGAAGGAGCTCTGGAGCTGTTGTGACCCTTCAGTGTTGTCCCTCATGGAGACAAGGGAATCAGACCTTTATACTCCCATATTGACCAAGGGATACAGGCTGTGTCAGGATAGGGCAGGCATGACCTTCAATGATTTTTCAGTCAAGGGCAATTTCTAGAGGGGTCCCAGCTGAGAACTGTTAGCCACCAAAACACCCAGGAGCTTGGGCAGGAGGGAAGAGTGGGATGATGCTTCAGTCCTGAAGGCAGGCACTGGATGGCACACTGCAGCATCTACTCCAGTACCTTCAAAAATGAGAAGCAGAATAAATTTTTTTGATACTTCTCACCTAGGACAGCTACACACAACTTCTCTTCCCTCCTTCATGGTTTGGTGAGTGGAGTCTCACAGTCTGTTACTTTACTATTGGAAGGGTCATCAACTGAGGGAAAAAACTAAATAGACATTGTGTTTGGATCTTATTATAGCTTAGTCCTAGCACTCCTGTGACCTATTGAATACATGTGATCAAGGATACACTGCATCTTGAGCCAGCCCTGATGGCCTCGTGGTTAAAGTTCTGCGCACTCTGCTTTGGTGTCCTGGGTTCAGTTCCTGGGTGCAGAACCACACCAATCATCTGTCAGTAGCCATGCTGTGGCAGTGGCTCACATAGAAGAACCAGAAGAATTCATGACTATACACGACTACGTACTGGGAGGGGAGAAAAAAGGAGGAAAATTGGTAACAGATCTTAGCTTAGGGCAAATCTTCCCCTGGGAAAAAAAAACCCAGTTTTTAAAAAGTATTTAAAGAAAGAATACACTGTGCATCCTCCTTTCCTTGTTAAGGGGTGGACTACCTTTCTTTACACTCAATGGATGTTCCCGTAACATCTAGTTCAAGATGATGTACAGTATAGCGAATTCATGAAAATCACAGAGCTGGAAATTACTTTGAGTGAGATATAGTTGGCACTCAAATGTTTGCTGAATAAATGAATGGATTTTGTCCTCACCTACAGTTAGAATGGTAGGTTAACTACACAGAGGTATAAGTTCCTGAACTGTCATCCAGCCACTTTTTGTTCTCCAAGCTAAGTAATTCTAGGTATTTTTTTCTAGCATGAAATACTGGAATCACATTTGATTGGAAACCAGGAGAGTGCCAGCCCCCTCTACCACTCTGTCATATGTGGGCAAGTTTCTTCATCTGTAAAATAAGATTGGACTTACTGATCTCTAAGGCAGTTTCTGCTTGAAGAAATTCTATGCTTCAGTCCTCTACTTTGGCATTTGGTTTTCCTTTCTCTAGTTGTAAAGTGTGGAAATTAAATGCAGTAACCCATTTAGCCTCTTTCCCTCAGATTTAGCTCTCAGGTACATGCTAACTGAACAACTAACCTACCCTTACAGCTACCAGGCGACTATTGGAACTTTGTTCTCCCAGTCCCCAGAGATTCACTCATCACCGTAATTCTCTGAGGACTCTGGGCTATCGCTTCTCAGACTGATGCAAAGAACAGGCTGCTTGAAGTCCTGTTCCTGAAGGACCTGCCTCAGATTCCAGGCCGCCTGGGACCTATAAGAGACGGAGTCAGAAGTGTGCCTACTGAACCATTATGTTGGGTCATGAAGAAGCTTTCCTGAGAAAGCTCCAAGTCTTCAGTCTCACACTAAATAGTCTTAAACTCCAACAAGTCAACTTGCATTTAATTTTAGTTTACTTCCTTTTCTCTCCAAAATGCCGACACTTGGGACTCTCTCCTCAGTGCCCGTCCCCTGTGCCAGGCTAAATTGGTTTGGGGAAAATAATGCATTGAGTTCTGCTACTTCACTGAAATAGTAGTTGCTATCTGTGGAGGCCTACTATGGGCCAGGCACAGGTACAGTGCCTGGGCGTGTAATGACAACCCTCACAACAAATCCACAGGGACACGTTATCCCCCTTTATAGATGTGCAAACTCAGCAACACAAGGGAACTACAGGGATGGTTGAAGAGTGCCGGGAGTCTGCTCTTTTTCAACAAGCATTTAGTGAGAGGCTATTAGAAAAAGCACATTTGGTTCTTTTGGACTAGAGCTGAATTTTCCCATAGATGCTGAAAAACTTTGGGGTTTGCATGTCCATATGCGCCTGCCAGCCTGCTCCCAGGGAGATGTTTTCACAAATCGAATGTTAACATTCCTAGAGTTCAGTCACATCAACGATGCTCAAAGGTAAAATCTAGCAGCACCCCCCTCTTTTTACAGATATGAAAAACAAGGCCCTACGAGACTGTGTTAAACACAGAGATAAAAGTGAGAGAAGACTTCAGGAAGAACTTTCCTTGGAGGAAACAAGAATTGCCCTTTGGATTTAATAATGGGGAGATACGCTACTAGAGAGTAATCTGGTGCCTTTAATTCCGATCCATGTGTTAGCGTTCAGCTCCCATATTGGGAAATATTTTCTGGCCATCTCCTCATCGTTCCCTCACCCCACTACCACAGTACCAGTTACGTGCCCCTCCTCTGTGCGCCCATGATGGCTTGTGTGTTTCTCTTATCATTTCACTTTTGAAACTGTGTTATAATCCTATGTATGTGTCTTTACTCACTAGACTGAGTTCCTTGAGGAAAGAGTATGTGTTATTTCCAAAACTTTGCGCCCTGAGTATGTAATATACCCTAATATTTCTTGAGTCAATGAGTGAATAAGTAAGTGAATAAATAAATGAATGAATAATCAACCTTGCAAGCTTTCTTTCTTCCAACACTTTTAAGAAGGAAACATCCCAGGAGCTCATGAAGCAGCACTGAAGGAGATAAGGCCCTGGATTTTGTAACTTCTGAGTGAACTTTCTATTCCAGGAATCTGTGAATTTGTGGATATTTTCCCACTTAGCCTTGTTTCTCTTCCTTCTGCTGATTCTGCAGTCAGGCCTAGAACAGGCGTTCTCCGAGTGGTGTCTCCAGCCACGCCCAGGAGAGGGCAGTAGAGCCCCGTCCTGCTAGACGGAGAGGGCCTTGCTTTCTAGGCGCAGCCCTTCCTTCCCACCCCTTGAACAGCAAGACGGAGGTAATCCTTACAGCAAGCCTGTGAGAGCTGCTGCTCCAGTTGTGAGGATGAGGAGCCTGACACAGAGAGGTCACTCTAGGTCACACGGTGGCAAAGGTAGGCCTGCCTGTTTGTCCCCATTACCTCTGGCTATCAGGTCCAATCTGCGCAACATTTTCAAGAAGCTCCTCATGTTCTTAGCCTAAAGTAAAACAGATCCAAAGAGATGGAAACTGTCAGATCCGTGGATGCTCAAGCATCTCCCATTACAAAAGCCCACCCTTGACCCTGCTTCCCCTTCTAACTACTGCCCTTCCTCCGTCTTCTCACAGCCATGCTCCTAGAAGGTTGTCTCCACGGGCAGTGTGCATCTACTCCACATCCTCAGCTCACAATCGCTACTAAAGCCACCAGTCTGACTTCTGCCAAACCCACTGAAGCTATTCGTATTAATAGTACCCATGACCCAATTGCAAATTCAGTGAAAACCTTTTGGTCTAAATTCATCTCTCTATTTCTCCCGCCCTTATCTACTGCCCTTCTGTATTAGTGAATGACCCATCATCTCTCTCCTTGCTCAGGAAAGAAACCTGGAAGTCATTCTAGAATCTACACCCCCTTTATAATTCTACCCCATTCAAACCACAAGTCCTGCCTCCTAAATAAATCTAGAACTCATCTGCTGTTTTCATGCCACTGCATAGATCACGCCCTCATCCTGCAGTTCAGGCTTCTAACCACCATCCATCCAATCATCCAGCAAGTGTGCACTGAGCAGCTGCCTGTGCCAGGCATGGTTGTAGGTGCTGGCCTTGGAGAGACGAACAAGACTGACGAGGCCTGCTCACTGGAGCTCACATTCTTGGAGCCACAGACAATAACAAGAAAGTAAGCAAACAAGATAAATAGATGTTATGAAGAAAACAAAACAGAGTGTTTGATAGAGAATGGCTGGGGGGTACTTTAAATTAAATATTAAAAAATATCTGTGCAAGGCTACTTCAGTTGGATCCCTAGGACAGGACTCTCTGAGAAAGTGACAGTAAGCTATCTAGGGCATTGCAGGCTGGCTAAAGACTCAATTTCCCAGCCTCCCTTAAAGAGGAGGCCGTGTACACAGTTCTGGCCAACGTGACGTTGGTGGGGATCGAGGGGGTGTTTCTGGAGAAGCATTTCATTTCCAGAAAAGAAAGACAAGTATCACTGACACAGCCCTTCCTGGTCTTCCTGCTCCTCCTTTGACCATGAGGGAAAGAGAAGCTGAAGAGAGGTGGGCCCTGAACCGAGGCCAGCAGCCACCACCTCCAGACTTGATATGTGAGAAAAGCAAGGCCCATTTGCTTAGCAGAATTTTCTTTCAGTGCAGAGCATCCCAGCTTCGACCCCCAGCCCTGTAGATCTGGGGAAGAGAAATCCAGGCAGAGTTCAAAGGCCCTAAAGTGGGCACTGCCTTGGCATGTTTGAGGAAGAGAGAAAAGATCAGTGTCGCTGGAGCATAGTGAGGGGGGAGAGAAAGAGTGGGAAAAGTCTGAGAGGTGGAGAGGGTTTTGCAAAACTTTGTAAGTCCCTGGAAAGCCACCTGGATTTTATTTTAAGTCCACGGAAGATCACTGAAGGGTTCTAGGCAGGAGAGTGACATACTCTGATTTAGGTTTCTTAAAAGATCCTTCCAGCTATGACATGGCGAATGAATCAGGGAGTGCGGGTGGGGCACACACTGCTTTGGGGCTGACCCAATAGCTGTTCCCCTCTCCTTTTCTCTTGCCATCTTTGCTTTACAAGTGAGAGGAGTCAGATGTTCCCTTTCCTGATCTCTCTTGCACTTGGGTGGACCACGTGACCCTGATCTGGCCTGACCCTGGTGGGGAGGACTTTCAGGAAAACTTTTCCTTCCTCATAAAAAGGGGATGGACTCAGCTGGTGTGGCTCTTCTTCCTTCTCTGCGCGGAGTGCAGAAATGGCCCCTGCGAGTGCAGGAGCCCTCTTACAAAGGTGAGGCCATAGGCTAAGGCTGGCAGAGTAGAAAGATGGAAGCCTGGTCGGGGTACTTGTCGACATCATTAAACTTTTGAATCTTGCTTACTGCCAGACTTATCAGGTGAGCAAAATAACCCCCTATTTGCATAAGCCACTTGTGCAGCTAAACACATTGTCAACTGATAGAGTGGGCAGGAGAGTCAGCAAAGAGACCAGCTAGGACGTGGATCAGGTGAGACATGATGGTGGCTTGGACTCTGGTGATTGTCTCCCTACAGGTCTTTCCATTTCTAGTCTTAGTTTCTTCTCATTTGTCTCCCACACTGTGACACTTCGTAAATGTAAATCTCTGCATGAACTCCTCTTGGCTTAAAATTCCTTGCTGGCTCTCCATCTCCATTGCTTCCATGAGCTTCCGTGAGGTTCCCCTCACTCCCTCAGGCAGACCTGGTGTTCTTCCTTCTACCTCCTCCTATATATGTACCTACTTCCATCACAGGTATATAACTGTCTTTATAGCAACTGATATAACGTAGCTGCTCATTCAGTTATACAAGCATTCATTCTCCGCACGGATGCTTACTGAGCACTTGCTATATGGAGACACAGGGCTGGGAGTCAGGAATTCAATAGTGAACAAGTTCGATTTTTAGATTTGGCCCCTGCCCTGATGGAGCTTTCAGTCTAAAAGGTGAGCTATTCTGACAGTTAAGGTTTGGGGAGAAAAGCAGCCCATCTCCCAGACTATAGCCCACTGCACGGCAAGACAACCCCTGGGCCCTAGCACACTATCGCACGCAAGGTAGATGCATGATGGCCACATAGTAAATGCATTCCTCACTCAGGAAGGCCTTGAAATGTATTTCAAATGAAATGCACTTCTTATTTCTACCAGGAAACTCCCCAGGACTGAGTGATTGCCCTCTCACAGCATTAAATCGGGCACTCAAGCATCCTGACAAACCCCTTGCGCTCTCCCCACGTTGTTGCAGGTCTCTTCTCCCAGGAAAGGTTCCGAGGGTGTCTAACATAACACTTCACATCAGAGGTCCTCAGTAGACGTGTGTTTTTTGCTGAAGGCTCCGTTTGGATTTTCTAAACAGGGATGCCTCATTGTCAGAGCTAGAGCTGCTGAAGTGTGATTCCAAAATCACTTAAAATAACTCCGCAGGGTCCTGTTCTATAACTTATTATGTGTAGTTTTAATAGTTCTCTAAACACCCTGTTTTGTTGCCCTCTCTACTACTGCAGGTGATGGCAGCTGGGAACAAGACAGGCGGAGACAAGAGAAATAAAAATAATACAGCCCACGCTTTGGGCTGTGCTCCTGTTGCCATGGTGATATTGACCCGTGACATACAGGTGAGAGGCCCTGTTTACAGTGGAGCCAGTGGGCTGTGGAGGCCAGAGAGGCAGGACATACAGATGCAAGACTTCCACGCCTCCTGGGCCTGGAAAGGACTTCATAAGGCCGACTGCTCCAGTTTCCTGCCTCTTAGCTGAAAATCAAATGGATGGGCAGCTTGTTCCTAAAAATCCTAAACAACAAACGCCACCACCTCTCTGAGTCATCTGTTAGGCTCACATTTCACAATATTCATGACCCTGAATAGGTTTTCTATGTCTAATATCATTCTCTCTTGTTGTCCTTCCAGCCCAATTCCTTTTATTATTGCTTCTATGGAAATAAAAGTTAACCATCACCTGTACACTCTGGACAGTAACCCAGGAGGTAAGATAAAGAGAAAACAAAACCACAGCTGAAGTGTGGACTCTGTTCATTTCAGCACCACCACGACCAGTGTGGTCCCCACCCCTGTTCTTTCCTCTGGTCTTGCTCTGGGAGTGAGTGGCCTGGAGGGGCAGGGAGCACACGGTATTGAGGCACATGTGGAAACAGCCTGCTGACCCAGCCCACAGGCTGCCAGGGACAGAGAAACAGGCCTGCTGTCCACCAGGTCAGAGTGGGGGCAGGGTAGCCCTCCCATGAGGGACGTCTTCCTCTCCTGAGTGAAATAAAGCACAGAGAGCAGGAAGGTCTGTTTTAGTGAGTATCTTTAAAAGCTTTGCCACAACAGACAGAGCCCAAGGCAGCCTGGAAACCCACAGTGATGGCAACAGGGCTCTCTTGCTTCCAGATGACCCTGCAAAACAGAAATGGTTCTGCTAAATCAGGAGTGTGGCTTTTTCCCACCTCACATTAAAAAAAAGAAAAAAACAAAATCCCAGCCTTCAGAATCATTTCAGAAATCATCCTGCCTGAAAAATGTGTGACGGCCCTAATGGCACAGCCTGGATTGAAGGTGAGGGGAGCAGAAAAGCGCCCAATCCCAGACGCACCGGCGGGGGGGGGGGGGGGGGGGCACTGCTCCCACCCTTCCCAGAAGCAATGGGAGGCCCCCCTCCACTCCCATCACCAAGGACATAAGGAAAAGGCCATCTGCAGGGACTCTCTGGAATTCTGTAGCTGGCGAGTAAAGTCTTGATACTAATGGGTCCCACCCCCACATCCCTGTCACTCTCTTTACCCCCAACTACTCTGCTTCCATTCTCTTAATCCATTGCACTAGATTAAGATGACAGACGTCTCTTCCCGCCGCAGACATGCTAGACAAACCCTGGGCCTCTCTTCATAGTCCTTAATTCCCCAAAATAGTGTCAAGAAAACTAAACACTTGCATGAAACTTCTCTTCAGCTCCTCCCTCTGGTTTCTTTCCCACCCTGGGCCAAGAAGCCAGTGCTTATTTTCACAAGAGGAAAGAAGCTTCCGTCTGTAAGTGAGGTTAACACCCACCCTGAGGCTGGATTCTTTCTGGTCTCTCTCAACAGCTGAGCATCGTGATTTTGCTAATTAAGCTGCTTTCTTCTCCTTAATTAGCTGCATGTGAATCTTGTTGGGAAGTCTTGGATCTGTGAAATAGTCTAGGATAAGAATCAAAAAGAAGAAATCATCTAAACCCAAGGGAACAAGACTGGGAGGGAGACAGCTTATTCTGCTAAAAAGTTAGCATGTCTCGGTCTTAGCAGGACTGTTACTGGTGGCCCTGTTTTACAACATAATATGAGATGTCACAGCAAATCCTGTGGTCACTGTCCCCAGCCCAAGGAGTTCTCAGCCTGCCAGCTCAAACGCTCCCAGGAAGGGCTGACACAGGATGGCTCCTGTCCCCACCACACTGCCCTGCCATTTGCCAGCTTGCTGACGCACAGGGAGCCATCAGAGGGCTGAGGGAGTCTCTGGGTTTTCTGCTCCCAGCCCATCCTGGGGCCCAAATAAATGCCAAGTGTTATTCTTGTTTCAACTCGGCTTGCCAGCTCCTGTCTCTGAGATATCACGCCCTCTCTGAGAATATCCTCTCAGAGGAGAACCAGGCTCTTGCAGGATGACGACAGAAGAGGTTTTTATACACCCAGCATAATGTGAATCAGAGGCAGCATCTGCTGTTGCAGCAAAGACATACTTAGATTCAGTTAGAAACGATTTGAGGCCGTAAGCAACTCCCAGGGCTAACAGGACCCAAGAAATCATCCAGCCCAGCCCCGTCCCTCTAAATACCACTGACCTCAAGCCATATGGGGGCAGCGGAGCCATTTGAATCACCTGGGGAGCCTTTAAAACTGTGAATCCCGGGCCCCACCCCAGACTAACTAAAAACCTCTGGGGTGGGTCTGGGCATCAGCGTTGTTAAAAGCTCCCCAGGTAATTCTACCGTGCAGCCAGGCTTGTGAACCCTGCTTTAAGATTCCAGGAAAAGAGCTGCCAGCATGTTCCTTTGGGAATCTCAAAATCCTCACCATGAGGAAGTTCTGCCTCATTTCTTATCTGTCCTCATTTTGAGGAAATGACAATGGAGGAAAGAGCCTTCTGAAAAAAGCTCCCCTGGAGGACATCAGGTGAAGAAGTCCCCCAAACGCGAATCCTGGGCTTGTCCGGGTCTAAACTCCCAGTAACACCACTTGCGGTGGCTTATCAAACACCCAGAATGGACACTGCCTTACTCACCTGCAGCAAATTCTTGGATGTTGTCTGGTCTTTTCAAAAACATTTCTCTGGAAAACATTAGGGAAAAAGGGCAGGAGGCAGAGGCTTTAAGGCAGGCTGTGCTACGGCTGCTGGTCCTGAGCTTGCAGGAAGCACACTGACCCAACACACACCCGTCTTGGGAGTCAGAAAGCCAGAGGACTCCTGACAAAGACCCCTTCATTCCTGATTTTCCTTGAAGTCAGGATCTGAGGCATGGAGCAAACCATCCTACATGGCGATAAGCCTAGGGATTGCTCACTCGAAAGACAGCTGTGTTGCAGCCAGGCGAAGCTTGTCAGGCATTCAGCAACATTCCCACGGAACCAGAGACCAAGCCAGGGGCGGGCGGCGAGGATGGGGAGCATGCTGCCTAGTCCTGGAGGGGCTTGAGTGTGGTGAGACAGATCTGCAAGCCCACAACCTTCTGATAAGTTTAACAATAAACTCCCATGGGCTGGGGGCAGAATACAACAAACAAAGCTGAGAAGATGGACTGAAGATGGTGGCTGGCCCTGCGGTGCAGTGGCCCCCGTGACAACACCTGCGCTGCTGGTGCCACTGGGAGTTGAGAATGCCTTGTGTCACATAGTTTTCTGTTCCTGAAGAGTGTTCACAGTATCTCCCTTTACAAAAACCCTGTGAAACAGCAATGACTGTTCCTCATTTTACATATGAAGAAATCAAGCCTTCAAAAGGTTAATCATCTGTCCAGGTTCATAAAGCAAGTAAAGAAAGGAGGGCCCAGGTCTTGTGATTCCAAGGCCAGTGCTCTCTACAACTCTTGGCCATGGCTGCCCTGCCCACCAGCCTAGAAGGCCTCACCAGGCCAGGAGCTCCTGCCTCCCAAGTGTCAAGAATTTTGCTTCCCTTTTCCTCCTTCAATTCAACTTGATAATTATGGAGCACAAATTATGTGTAAGTAACTGTACTAGATATGAGGGATTGATTTTAAAAAGGATAAAATATAGCCCCACCTCAAAGACGTTACAGTCTATAAAAGGGAATGGTAAGTTCCCAAATGTCCAAAAGGCCAAGGAGCCTCCCAGAAGGGCTCCTAGAAGGGTACTAAATAATGCGCTGGGAGATCAGAGGAGAGAGGAATGCAACTGAGAGCAGGACCCCCAAAATCTTCACAGAGCAGCTGGCATTTGAGAGGACCGTGAGGTGTACACGGGATTTCAGTAGGCAGGACAAGGGCTTGGGGACAGGAGCCTTCCCTGGTTCCAGAGTCAGGGAAGTTGCAAGAGCAAAGGCCTGGAAATGAAAAGAAACAGCCCATGTTCCATAGACGGTGAACTCCTCGACGGGAGGAACTGGGTCGCATCCACCTTTGTATCCCCAGGGTCTGGAAGAGCACTCCCCGAGTGTCAACGCCCCTCCACCAGGCTGGTGGAGTGACCAGAGAGGTTCGGTCTGGCAGAGCAGGGCATGTGTGCGAGGAGCAGTGGGACGTGAAGGGGCCTCTGTGAGGAGGGCCTGGAAGGCCCAGGAGAGACGTTTACACTCAGTTCAAAAGTCAATGGGAATGGATAGACCAAGTGTGGTGTGGTCACACGGTGGAATACCACACAGCAAAGAAAATGGAGGATCTACAAGATACTGTTGAGCAAAAGAAGCCAGGACAATCGAGTACATGTTGTAGAATTCCCTTTATATAAAGTTCAAAAAAGGCAAAACAAATCCATGCTGTGAGAAGTCAGGATACTGGCTACCTTTTAGGGGGAAGTGACTGGAAGGGCCACAAAGGGTCTGAGGTGCCAATCACGTTCTATTTCTTGATCTGGACCCTAGTGTGTTCTCCGCTTGTGAAAGTTCATCCAGTTTAGGATATGCCCCTTTTCTGTACTTTATATTTCAATAGAATGTTTTTTGGGTTTAAGTCACTGTTGTGAAGCCACTGAAGTTTTTTCCAACCAAGGAATGATATGATGAGTGATGTATTTTAGGAAGATTCATCTGCCTGGGTGTTTACAAAAGCATCAAAGTCTTTCTACAATTTCACACTTGGCTATTATATCTCCAGCCTAAAACCTGAGATCTCTGGGTGCCTAAAATAAGTTAGATTCCTACTCTTCCCATTTTTCAGGCCCAAAATTCAAGGTATCAGGAGTTCTGTACACTGTATATATGAGTATAGACTAGAGAGCCGTGGCTGAATAGCGACAAATCATTAGAATCTGGAAAACCCAATCTGGGAGCTCTCTTCCCAACAAAACCTATTCAGAGCTTCCCGTGGCTTAGAATGAGTCTAGAGCAGAGACCTGCAGAACATGAGGACAGGCATGCTGCCCAGGCTTCTGTCTGCTCTTCTCCCTTTCTCTTTTTCACAGGAAGGACCATCTGAAGCATCCAGTACAGATGAGGGCTTGACTCTGGTTCATCCTGGTACCACCCAGAGGAAATAACAATAACGCCAAACAAACAAAAGCAAACTCTCAAACTCCAAATACTTCCTCTCCCCCTCCCACCTCCACCCCAGAAAGAGAAAGGCCTAAAAGAGGCCAGGAGGATTTCATGTAAGGTAGCTTCAGAGACAGCAAAAGGAAAAGCCTGGTGGCCTACCTGGCCCGGGGAGGGGGATGCTAAGGAAGGAAAGGGAAGATGCCTGAGGCTGTCCCTGCAGCTCCCCCTGGAAACTGTTCCTGGACAGAGAAGCAGAGCCATCCCTGATATGTAACTAAAACTATGGCCCTCTTCATTCACCACCCCGGAGGGTGAACAATGCAAATGGTGATTTTTTACATCTTTAACATCTATCTCCAATCTCCCTGCTGGAATCATTCCTAACTTTGATTGCAAGCTCCCCAGGAAAGGAACAATGTCATCCTGTATTTCCCTTTAGAAGACAAGGTACAAAAAGTGATGGCTTGATCCCCAGGGCAGACACGGACAGAGGATCCTTAAACCATCTTGTGTCAAAGGCTTACCCTGACCCGAATAAAACCAGCCTTCACAGACAGGTTTCAGCTTTCCCTTTCTCCTTCCCCTGTCTGCCCTCTGAGAAGCTGCTGCCACTTGGAGAAATGGTTAAAATATGAAGAACAGTGAGATCCAGGAAACACAAATGGGCCTGGGGAAAAAGACACCTCTCCAGGCCTACTTTTGAGAAGACAAAGGAGAGCCCTACCTCTGGCTCCCCAGCTCCTGTGCGCTTACAACGCAACACAGTGGAAAAACCAGGGGTTTGGATCCCGGTTCTGCAACTTGGGGAAGGTACCTCACCTCTTGGTCTGTAAAATGGAAGGGATAATAAACTATCTTTTGTGGAGTTGCTAGGAGGGTCAGCAAAAGTGTACCAAGATGCCATGTACTGTGTGGGCCCTGGGGACACAAACATGGCTCCAGCAGCTTGGAGCTTTGGTCCAGGGAGAGAAACAGAAGATGCACAATGCAATTACAATGGAGTATGATAGCTGCTAGTGTAGGAAACCAACACCGGGCCTGGATGTGGAAGGCATTATTATTATTTAAACCTTGCCTATTTGTCTATAGCCAAACAGTATTTGAGATAGCTCTATCGTCTTTACCCATTGCTGCTCCATGATTTTTTTCCCCTCAATTCTTTGCCTTTCATCCCATAGGGAGAATTCTCCAGCAAATGCCATGCTGAAAGGCAGTGTGGGGGAAGGAAAAACATACTTCAGGATATGCTGAAAATGGCCTTCTCTTCCCCAAGACTTAAGCGGAGTGGCTTCCGACCCTCCGAGTCCTTCTACAACAGTGTTCTCAGGTACGCAAGGGCCAAACATCTGAATTTGTTTTAAGTTCTAGTGATCTTGTTAAGCTCTTCTGACGGAGAATAGTGTTCTACACCCAGTGGCTGCCTGTAGACTTTCTCAGCGCCGAATCCCTCTTCCAACTGTCACAAGGCACATATTTATCCTTACAGCTAAAGGGAATGGATATTAGTATTTTTGAGAATTTAGAGATAACTAAAGGAAACCTCTAGAGATAACTCAAGAAAACACTGGGTGCCACAAATCCCAGAGTTAGAAAAAATTCAATCTTAGGATATTTTCTAACTGTCAGACCCTAAAGGAAGCAGTAGGAAGTGTTCAAAGAAAGAAGGGGTCACTCACACTCATCTGTCCCAAACAAGATTTGGTAAAATTTTCCACGAGTTGCTCAAGGCGGCTCTGGAAAACCACCTACCTGAAGAAACCACTTAGGAGCAACTCCACTTCTTTGTGGGTCCGTAGGTACTTTTCGTTAGCAATCCGAGTCTGAATCTAGGGGACAAGACCAAAGGGTCACGCTCCATGAGGAGACAGATTTCAGGGTTCAAGTCCTGGAGGTGCGAAGGGCTGGGGGACGCAACGTGCGCGTTTAACCCGGGGCTTTTCCCTGGATGTCCTCACAGACCGACATCTCCAGGCTGCCTCCGGCTTAGGCGTAGGGGTCTCAACCAAGCACGGGTCCCCACGGTCGGAAGTCCTCGTTTGTATCTAAGTTAATCTGTCCGGCATAATTTCGGTCCATTTCTCTGGCCAGCTCCCTTTTTCAGTTCTTCCCGCCCTTCCAGGCGCCTGCCGGGCTCTGTTCAGCGCCCCAGAAGCCCGGGTTCCGCCGGGGGTCTTCCCGCGCCCCTTCTCCCGGAGGCCCTCCTCCCTATCCGGGGCCCTCACCCTGGTGGAGCTGCACTTTGACGGAGGCGGGGCGGGGGGGGTGCACCCACCTTGAAGTCGCGCAGCTGCTGCACCTGCGCGGGGCTCAGCGCCCCGGGGTCGGACTCCAGAAGGCAGCCCTGCAGCGTCGCCATCTTGTCGCGGTCGTCATGGCGACGGGCCGTGCGCGCCGCGAGGCCCCGCCCCCAAGCCCGGCCCTCTCCAGCCAGGGGGAGGGGCTGAGGGAAGCCTAGGGGAGGCACCTCTGAAGCCCACGAGGGAACTCGGGAGGGTCTTTAAGAATTTCCTTCCCCAGATTTGGGGACTGACTTGCCGGCTTGACTGTGTATGGGATGAGCCTTTCTTGACCATGGCCAACCTCAAATAGTTTTTTTCTCAGCTGCAGCGCAAAACTGGAAAAAGAGTTCCTAAAGCAGAGTCTCCCAGAATTTGGTTCCTGACCCTCTCACTTGGGTGGAAGCTGGATGAAGCCTAGTAGCTGGGAAAGAGAATTAGGCTTCTTCTCTTTTTGGCTGCCTGGAAGCCAAACCCCTCCATGTATCCTGTAGACACTTGACATTGAAGTGTTAAATTCTTCTTCTTCTTCTTCTTTTTTTAGCTGAGGAAGATTCGCCCTGAGCTAACATCTGTTGCCAATCTTCCTCTTTTTGCTTGAGGAAGGTTCCCCCTGAGCTAACATCTGTTGCCAATCTTCCTTTATGTTTTTTATGTGGGTCACCACCACAGCATGGCCACTAATGACTGGTGTAGGTCTGCACCCAGGAAGCAAACCCTGGCTGCTGAAGCAGAGCATGCAGAACTTAACCACTAGGCCACATAGTGGCCCCTCTGAAGTCTTAGAGTCTTAAAACAATAAGAAAGCACTCCATAGGATGGAGTGAACTGAGTTCTGCAAAGGAAAGAACATTCTCAGACTAAAGATGGTGGAAAGGATCTGGGGGGACATCCTACCAGAAGTTGCCCCTCTTGGACTGACTTTCTTGTATAGATTAACTTGCTCCTCATAAGTTCTAAATTATTTCTCCCACTCCCAATTGAGTCGGGGAGGGGAGAGGCAGTGGGTCTTGGAGATGCGTTCTTCTAGTATCTAGTTAAGAAGGGAAAGTGAAGCATAAAGCCAGAGAGCTGGATATAGTGGCCTGGAAAGGGCAGGAGCCTGTCCGTCAATGGACACGGGCTGAGCTTCTACACCGCCAGAGACTGTGCCCAGCAGAGGCCTTCCGAGAGGCAGAGAAGGAGCCCACAAGGGAGGCCGTCTTTTCAGCTTTGTGAACAAGTGCCCAAGGAGCAAGGAAAGAGCATGAGAAACAAGCCCAGCATTCGGCCGTGGCCTTGGAGGGGTCTCTTGGTGGTCTGCCTATATCCTTCTCAGCAAAGACTAAGGAAAAGAAGTGAAAATGTTGGCAGTTCTCAAGCCAGGAAAAACCCCACAAGAGATAGATTAGGCAGTGGGCGGCAAGCCTCTCCCCCTTCCCGGAACAACATCCGGCTAGGAACCGTTTCGGTTGTTTGTTTTTAGGAGAGAGAATTAGCAAGAGTGAGAGGTAGATAAGCTGCCATCTGTCAGAAGTGATTTTTTCAGGCAGGAGCAGAGGTTAATCAGAGATGATAGTTCCTATTGGCCGAGACCTGTCTCTTCCCACCCCACCCATCGACCCCGAGAACTAGTGGTGGAACCTCTAGCTGCACCATCCAATATGGTTACCATGAGCCACCTGTGGCTATTGAACACATGAAATGTTGCTGTGTCAGATGTGTAGTAAGTAGAAAATACACACTGGGTTTTGAAGGCTTAGTATAAAAAATGTAAAATATCTCATTAATAATCTTTATATTGATTACATGTTGAATATTTTGCATATATTATATAAACACATTGAATAATACTTTGGATATATTGGTTAAATAGAAAGTTTTTTTTTTGAAGATTGGCCCTGAGCTAACATCTGTTGCCAATCTCCCTCTTTTTTTTTTCTCCCCAAAGCCCCAGTACATAGTTGTATATCCTAGTTGTAGGTCATTCTAGTTTTTCAGTGTGGGATGCCACCACAGCATGGATTAATGATCGGTGTGTAGGTCCACGCCCAGGATCCTACCCGGTGAACCCTGGGCCACCGAAATGGAGCCTGTGAACTTAACCAATGGGCCATGGGCCGGCCTCCTAAAATATATTATTAAAAGTAATTTCAGGGCCGGCCTCTTAAAATATATTATTAAAAGTAATTTCAGGGCCAGCCCGGTGGTGCAGCGGTTAAGTGAGCACGTTCCGCTTCAGCGCACGGGGTTCACAGGTTCTGATCCCGGGTGTGGACATGGCACCTCTTGGCAAGCCATGCTGTGGTAGGCATCCCACACATAAAGTAGAGGAAGATGGGCACGGATGTTAGCTCAGGGCCAGTCTTCCTCAGCAAAAAGAGGAGGATTGGCAGCAGATCTTAGCTCAGGGCTAATCTTCCTCAAAAAAAACCAAAACCAAAAACAAACAAACAAACAAAAAAAGTAATTTCACTGTTTCGTTTTACTTTTTTATGTGGCTACTAGAAATTTTTAAATTATATCTGTGGCTTGCATTATATTAAACAGTGCTGGTGTGGACTGGCAAGTCTGCACATGCACACACACATGTGCATATGTGTGCACAATTCTCTCTATCTGCCACCCCCATGCATAAAGTAGTTAACATCCTCCTTCTGCTAGTCTCTGATCTTCTTGTGGTTTGAGAATCAATCCAGCCTTTCTTGACCCATCGCATCCCAAGGCCCAATTCCCAAATACCCATGTGTGTAAATGAGAGAAGCTACTTTTATTTGCTTCACAACATCTCAGTCCTCACTATTGCATATTGTGTTGGCCTGTCTTACCTCTCCACTTGAGGTAGAAGCCATTTGAGGGAAGGAAGGCCATGCGATCAATTCTCTGTACACTGTGACAGCTTCTGCTGCAGATGTCTTCACTCCGGTTTCAGTTAGCGAGGCCAGCAAGTATGTGGTGACTAGCCACTCTGCCCACACACACCACCACTACATTTTGCCCTTCCTGAAAAACATCCCAATTATTCAGCATTTCTCATTTCCTAAGAATCTAAAACTAGGAGTAGAGCTCTCCCTTTTTAGTCAATAATCTTTTTATGTAGGGCAGCTTAGCGTTGAGTGCGGAGGAATAAGGAAGAAGGTGAGTTTCGTGATGGTGGGCAGAGAAAGTGCCTTGGAGGAACTAGGGCTTGGGAAGCCTCATTGCCTCCTGGAGAGCAACCCCCCAGCATGGTCCTCTGAGTCACAGGGTTTTCCCTCCAGTCTCTACTTCACATGGCTCCCCTCCCCCACAGCCTGAAGGAAAACAGAGATGAGCCCCCAGTCACCCAGCAAGGAGGGCCTGACCAGACCTCCCACCTCTTCTCTCCTCTCAGACTGAAACCTTCCATCGGGGACCACAAACTAAGTGAAGGATTGGAGGTGTTTTGCTGCCTGCAGCTCTCTTCCCAATTGCTGACTGGAAGGAGGAGAGAAGGGAGTTCATTATAATTCATTTTTGTGAATGCTTAATATTTCAATTAATATGATTAGCCCTAAGACTGAATGAGCAGCAGGGCGGCAGATCTGCTGACAAGACACAGAGTAATGAGATCAGCAGGGCTGTGGGGGTCTTCCTAGGCTCCATCCTCAGAGGGCATGATCTGTTTAGCATCTCCATAAATACCAAGATCAGATTAGAAGGCAAGAAAAGGAGCAGTGGGGGTGGGGAGGTGAGTGGAAAGTTACTTTCCAGATGTGTCTGCACTCCTGATTCCCTGGCACTGCCATCATATTCTGACCACCCAACACTGGGTCCTCTACCATCTCCCTCAACCCACCCATCTTAGGGGACCCTACTGGAAGGACCTGAGCATCCGTTTGATGAAGTGTCTACACATACACACACTCAGACATACACACCTGCCAGAATGTGGCTTCAGGCAACAGAAACTCAGGCTAAAGGAGGATGGAAGGTGGTCAATGGAGAATCAAGCAGTAGAAAGGACATCTCTCACCCAGGGCCCAAATGAAGAAACAAGAAGAAGAAAGGCCAGGCTTAACCACTCCCTCCATTCCTAGGAGGAGTATTTGATGTGGGAGTTAAACGTGGGGACTCAGGAGCCAGACTGCCCATGCTCCACTCTCAGCTAGACCTCTCTCTAGCTGTGTGACCTTAGGCAGGTCATTTAAACTCTATGCCTTGGTTTCCTCACCTTTATTCGGAGACAGTGATAGAACCTACAACATAGGGTGTTGCTGAAGGTTAAACAGGTTAGTAAACATAAAGCACTTGGAACAATACCTGAGACAGTAAGTGCCATCTAAGCGCTATCACATCACTTCTCTTCCAGGAGAGAAGCCTGCCTGCCCCGAGAGCTGAGGAGTGGGTGCTGCGGGGATTCTGTTGGGACTTATTTCAGAGACACCAGTGCCACTGTAGAGACGTCAGCCCCACTCTGGAATGAAGAAGGGAATGCAGGAGGCAGGCTGTTCCACAAAAGCCAAAAGCTATGAGCCTCATTGTAAGTCAGTCAGTGCACACCTGACGGCACGCAGGGGCCACCCCATCTAGGAGGTTTGATGTCAGCAGGTACTCCCTGCATTTAAGGGGAGCTGTGAGTGGGCCCGGTGTATGGAGGGGTCAAGCTCCTTCGAGATTATGGGGCAAACTGGTCATCCATGGAAGCATGGTTGTTTAGGGGAGTAATGGTCCCCAAATGTGCTTTCCCCACCCCTCTTTGCTATTTGACTTAATTAGAAAGTCCCACTCGAGGAATCTAAGGGCGAGGGGGCACAGGGAGGAGTACCTGGATTTCCTCTGCCCTAAAGGGAAGTTTCACAGCTGTGGTTCTTCCCGCTGAAGGAACCAGGAATCTACTCTTGTCAGAGGTTCTTGGCATCAACTGTTTATTTGAGAAATATTTGTTAAGCACCTACTACGTATGAACAAGACACTGTGCTAGACACGTGAACAGTAAAATGCTGAATTAAATGAAGTCCTGGTCTTCAAGGAGCTCACAAGTGAGGGCTCCCGCCATCCCCAGCGCGCCTCCCTGCCCACACACTTATACACACAAACCCCCCAGAGGGAGAGAAGGGGGCGTCAGCAAATGCCAGCAAGATATAGTGTTTCTTGGTTCCTTTTCCGGAAAATCCACAGTTTCCTCTCTGCACTCATCTCACCCCGCTCTCCCCTTCCCTGCCCCCTTTGCATCTCTCCTCTCTTGGTCCCTTCTGCCCTTTTTCCCCCGGGCTCTGTGCCCTGCTTTCCTCCCCAGCTACACCTCCCTCCCCACCTAACCTGTCCAACTGTTCTATGCCATTTTCTTTTCCCTGATTTCTTTCCTTGGCTCCCCACTCTCTGTCTCCCCAGATACCGGCTCCCCTCTCCTCCTCCCCCCTGTTCCCCTCTCCCGGGTCTTCTCTTCCAGCACCGGGGACAGCTCCAGCCCCCGGAACAATGGACCCCACCTTAGGGCTCCTCTGTAAATTCTCCATCTTAGTGCCTTGCCCAACTCGTGATTGGGAAGTAAGCTGGGGGAAGGGTTATTATCAACAGGACCAGCTGCTCTTCTCTTCTGGGGGCGGGAGGGGAGTCAGAGAGGAAGGAGATAGAAAGAGGGCGTGGCTCTTGTCTGGATTGTGCGTCCCTCTCCAGGGTAGAGAATTTGTATTCCACCCCTGAGACTGACATCACTGCTGTCAGGGGAAAGGAGGTGGGAGTGGGGAGGGGGGTGTGGAGGGGGGAGGTTTTTGTTGAGGAGAGCGCGGCCGGAGAGCAGAGCTCCGGGACCCAGGTGACCGGGAAAGCAGGCAGCCCCAGCAGCGGGAGCAGCCAGCAGCAGCCCAGGCCCGGGGTCCGGGGTGGGGGTGGGAGGGGGGCTGAGGGGAGGACCTGAAGGGGGGCGGCAGGGCAGAAGGGACCCCCGGAGCCCTGCCGCCATCAGAGATCAAGCATCTGGCATCAGGGATCTTCGGACCCAGCAGAAGGATCAGCCACAGGGGAGGTGTCCTCCCAGGGAAGCCAACGACAGCTCCACCTGCCCCACATCAGGAGTGCCACCCCCCTCCACCCCCCACTGACGCTGCTGGCAACCATACCAGGCCCCTAACCCCTCAGCCTCCATCCCCATTGCCCTCCTCAGGCCCATTCCACCACCTCCAGCTCTTATCTCAACCCTCAGTTTCCAACGCCCCTGCTACAACCTAACCCTCCAGGTCTTGGTGACACTGACCCCTATCCTGGGATATTTGCCAAATCTCTGGGAGGGAGATCGTCCATTTTGGCTATGCCCCCTGGTGGCATGAAAGTGTCTGCCTAGACCCCTAACCCCTAGCCCTCAACTCCCTGGGCCTCCTTTGTGTGAAGAGCTACCCCTCTGCTCAGCACTGTGGTTGGGGGCCAAAGGGAAAGTTAGCCCCGACTGGGCCCCGGGCCCCACCACTTGCCTCCTTGCTAGGCAGCTCCCCCTAGCCTTCGGGCCTCTCCCTGTTCCCCTCGGCCCCTCCTCCTGGGCCGCCTCAATGAAGGAGCCGGATGCCATCAAGCTGTTTGTGGGGCAGATCCCGAGGCATCTGGAGGAAAAGGACCTGAAGCCCATCTTCGAACAGTTTGGTCGGATCTTCGAGCTGACTGTCATCAAGGACAAGTACACCGGGCTGCACAAGGGTGAGGGGTCAGGCCAGGTTGGAGAGGCTTCAGGGAGTGGGCTGGGAGGCTGGGAGGAGGGGGAAGCCAGGCTGGAGGGATGGAATGGCTGGAGAGGGCTGATCTGGAAGGAAAAGAGTTCAGGGTCTGGGGAGTGTGGATGGAGGAGCTAGAAGAGAACTCACCTATGGTAACCAGGGGACTCCAGATGGAGGACTAAGGAGGGCCTGTTTGGGGGAAGAGTTGTCAAGGGGGCTGCAGAGATGTGGATCCCAGAGATGAGGGGGGTGTCGTGGATGAACTCAAGGAAGGATGGAGGAACAAAACAGCTGGTTTGGGAGACAAGGAGCTGGGCAGGTGTGTGTGTGTGTGTGTGCGCGCACACGCACGCACACGCGTGCGTGCAAGAGTACGAGTCTTAGTAGTCTCAGATACTATTGGGATGGGGGTCAGGACACGGAGTCAGGTGCTCAACCTGGAAAGAGTGGACATGGACTGGGCAGGGCAGCTCCAGGACTAAAGAGAGGGATCTGGGAAGCAGGATATGAAGCACAGAGATTGGTAAAGATCTGGGAAGTGTGGGGGACTTGAAAGTGAAGAGAGGAGGGGCGAAGAGAGGAAGCACCTCAGGCCTGTCCAAGAACTGTGCGGCTAAGCAGAGTCCGGCTGGCCGGGGTCAGGACTTGGAGATCTCCAGGTGCCGGGAGTCCGAAAGGCCACACTGCCTCCTCTCCACTGGCCCAGGGACTTCCGGCTAACTGCTCTTCCCTTTCCTTCTCCTCTGTTCCACTCTCCACCCTTCGCCTGCCTCCTGTGGAGTTGGAGAGAGATGAGGAAATAGGGAAAATGGGAGAGGAGAGGGGTGATGATGACCAAGATGGAGGGAGATGGAGGCAAAGGAGAAAGGGGAAAGGAGGCCAGTTAAGGAAGAGAGGAAACCACACTACACGTACTTATCCAGCGATCACATGCCCCTTCTCCTCCCCCCACACAAAGCTTGTCTCCTGACAGCCCAAGCGCTGTCCCTCTTCCATCACCACCACCATTTAAGCCTCCCGGGCTCTGGGTCCCTGCCGTTCCCATCAGCCCAGAGACTCCTGGGGCGGAATGCCCACCCCCTCTCAGACACCTCCCCACCCCAGCAGACAGAAGGTGGCAAGCTTCCCAGTCCTCAGTCTTGTGGAGGGGAGCCTTTTAGGGAGGGGAGACGGGGGACTCACTTCCCCACCGGGTCTCTCTGCCCCTGCCCCTCCTCAGGATGTGCCTTCCTGACATACTGTGCCCGCGATTCAGCCCTGAAGGCCCAGAGCGCCCTGCACGAACAGAAGACGCTTCCAGGGGTGAGTCCCAGCCTTCCCAGGGCCAGGGGGCTGAGAAAGGCCTTAGAAGGGGCAGAGGGCTCACCACCTTCCCAAGACACTAAGCATGTTTTTCACCTCTCATCACCAGCAAGTCCCTCTCTCCTTCTAGCATCCCTCTTTCTTGCTGTTGATGCATGCATTTCTTCTCACCTGGACAGAAGGAAAACAGTGATTCGGGGAGTAAATGTGACCTTTGCATGGAGCACATGCAGCCCCTTCCCCACTTCCCCACTTCCCAACCTGCTCACAGGGCAACACTTAGCAGTACTTGGTTGAGAGGCATGGGGAGAAGACTTTGGACACCAATTGTGGGGCAGAATGAGCAGGAGGCACCCAGGCCTTCTTTTGTGGCTCTGGGGAGGAAGTCTGGCTGTGTGATGGGGGAAGGGTGCCTGTAGGCTGAGATGGGCAGCTGGTGCCTGCTGGACTGGTATCTCCCTGCTGGCTTCTGAGCTCAGACAGGCTCCCCTCATGTCTCCCAGGAAAAGCCACAGGAACAGGGCCACAGGGCATCAGGGGGGAGCAGGGCCTGGGTGGGCCTGGGCTGGGAGTAGGAATTGGGGGAGCAAGCAAAGGCAGGGGCAGCCATCACAATGGAGGATCATGCCTGACCCTGCCCATTGTGCCCAGGGAGGCAGCAGTGGCCTTTGATGTGGCCTCCCTCCTGCAAGGTCAGAGCTCTTTGTGTCTTCACCTCAGTCAGCCTTGCAGATTGTCCCAGGCCTAGGCTGGAAAGGGCAGGAATAAAGAATCTCAGACTGCCCCGCAATTACACAAGCTGGGAGGCAAGGACGTGCCCTTTCTTTCCTATCTATCTGCTTCTGTTGCCGCTCGCACTGTGAGCCCCAAGAAGTACTTCCTCAGAGGTAACTTCATCCACCCCCACAGCAAACACTTGCTAAGTACAGTCTGGGTGCTGGAGACACACCTGTCACAGCCTCAACTCCTTCCCCTCTGTGGGAGCTGGAGAATGAGGCTGATTCTCCATCTTTTCCTATGAGGGAAATAGACAAAACCGACGGAGAAAGAGGGTGTGGAGATCTAGGAAAATTAGAACTATTTCAAGCACTCCCACCTGCAAACCCTCCATACGTCTCTGCCCTACCCACTCTGTGGCCCTCAGACCTTTAGTACCACTAGGAAAGCAAATCCAACTGCCAGCACCCGCCCTCACTCCACTATCTTATCCCAGTCAGTGGCAAGGCGCCCGAACAGCCATTGCTCACGGAGTTAAGGATCCGTGTATGTGTGTGAGTAGGCTTGGGATCCAAGGAGCACGCATGCGTGTCTGTGTGTGTGTGTGCATACGCATGCCTGCCAGGCCAGGTGTGTGGGTTGGGCACATGCATCCCTGGGAAGCCTGGTTCCCATCACATCACTCCGCAACTTTCCTTCCTCTTCCTTTTCTCCTCGGAGGCCCCAGACCAGTCAACAGTTTTCATCTCCATTGCTGTTTCTCTGTCTCTGTTATCTCCTCTCTCAGGGCCCCTGCAGAAACCAGAGTGGGGCAAGGGAGAAGGTGGAGAGAAGGGAGCCTGGAGTGGGGACTTGGGTGAGAGAGACTGCCTGTGGGTGGGCGTGAGCCCAGGGCGGTCTGTGCCAGCTGGGGGCATCCGCCCTGGGTCTGTCTCCCTCCAGCTGCGTGCACAGCCCAGGCAGGTCGCCATCTTGGGTCCTGGGTGTAGAAAGGTGCTGCCTCCCCTTCCTGAGGAAATAAAGCCTAGGGCGGGAGGTGATGAGAAGTGCACCCTGGTTAATGATTGTCTAGCCCTGCCCTTCAGCCCCTGAGCTCCCAGGTGATGCTGAGCTCTCCATTTTGGCCTCTCCCCAGGGGACAGAATCCAGAGGGACCTGACAGAGCCTCCAGTAGGAAATGAGGGGTTCCGTCCTCCAAGGGGGATCCCCTGCTGGGGGCTTAGGGAGCAGACCAGGGCTGTCTCGGGGAGCAGAGAAGTGTGACCAGCTCTGCCTGACCCCTTGTCTTTTCTCTGCCACCTGCCTTCCTGGCAACAGTGTTTTCCCTCAGATGGTCATTGTGTGTGTGTGCACAGTGTGCCAGCTCTTGCACAATCGTGTTGGGAAGTTCTTCCTGCTGTCCAGTCTCCCTGCCCTCCTATTGCAAGTTCTTTTTTAATGGGGGCATTTAGCCTTCTCTCCTTTCTCTCCATTTTTGTCACCCCAGAATCTGGAAGGTGCCACCATATTAGGGTGATGCTTTGGGCTGCAGAGAGAAAGAATGGGGGCTGGGCCTATGGCTGTGGAACCCCACTTCCTTTTCTCTCCCCTAGGAGTTCCCAGGAGTGGCTCTGCCTCAGGTCCCTGGATTCTTCCTGCGACCGGGGTGTGGCCTCCTGGAGGTGGCCGTGTGAGGGCTCCCTCTGTCTGGCCTGCCTTTCCCCCTCTACTTGGGCCAAAATCCCACTCTGGGCACATGGGCCCTCCCTGTCCTCTTGCTGCTGGGTGGGTGGATTCTGGCCCCGAGAAGAGGACCTGTGTGTGGTCTGGGACACCAGGCGCAAGTCTGGAGCCAGGAGTAGCAGGGCACCAGACCTGTGCCCTCAGGAGAAGTAGATTTTGTGGCAATGCTGAGCTCTTCTTAGAAGTGGGGTCTTCACTACTGGTGAGAAGGACGAGGGCCTTACAAGTGACTGTGTTGCTTGGGGGTCTCAGTGATATTGGCTGGAGTATAAATAGCCCCTTCTTCTTTGGGAGGCCCTCAGGAGGGCTTATCACCTGGCGGGTGGTAGCTAGGGAAGAGAGGCGCCTGGTGCACCAGGTTGGCAGGTAAACAGGGCCCAGCTGGACTCAGGGGAGGGGGCAGGTGTGCCCAAGCTGAGCTAACAAAGACTGAGCTTCCCACAGGATGTGCCAGGCCAAGAAGGAGGAGGCTGGGAATGGGGCATTGGGTGCCACGGAGGGAGACTGTCTGTGAGGGAGTGTGGGGGAACTTTCCATCAACGTGTTTTGTGCTGTGGTCTGTACACTTGCGTGTGTCTTTGTGTGAACCCATATCAGCTGTGGATATTTATTGAGATGCTATTTTTGTGGCCGGGAGCCTGTGCAGGGAGGGAACAGCATCCTTTCACTCTGGGTCCCAGGTTCCGCATCCCCACCTAGAATAACATATCCCCAGGGGCCTGTGGGAAGGCTTTAGTGCCAAGCATAATTCTCTGGTTCTGATTCTACATCTCATGTACTGGGGGTGGGGGCTGGCTGCTGAGATGCCTGTGAGGCGACTTCCTGGTTGCTTTGGTGAGAGTACAGGAGAGGAGGGTAAAAGACCAGGAGCCCTGAGCGTCTGATCCCCACCCCTGCTACACACACACACACACTCCCGAGGAGACTGAACCTCCGATGGGATAATCCCAGATTGGTGGAGGATAAAGCTGGGGCAGATTGGCCGAAGGATTTGTGTGACTCTTATTACCTCCCACCCCCACCAGCTGCTGTCAGATCCAGTGATGGGGGGGCAGAGAAGGAGTATTGGTTGAGGTGGGGCTTAGATTTGATCCAGGGCTGGCAATACCTACCTCACCAGCAGAGTCCAGCCAGACTAACTGACATAATTGATACCCGGGAAGAGGGTCCAGTGTGAGAAGGGGCAGGGGCAACTATCATTTCCGCACTTCTCTGTGTTAAGTGATGACACACAAGGCCTCCGATGCTAGAATACTAGAGCTGAGGGGAAGCTGACTCAAGACTGCCCGATCCAGCCCGATTTACAGATGAGGAAGCCAAGGCCCAGAGGAGAGAAATGACTTGTCCAAGGCCACCCAGCTAGTGAGTGGCAGGGCCAGTCCTTGAAGTCCAGTGCCTTTCCTGAGGATAACTTGAGCCCCACCCTCAGAGTGAAGGTGAAGGGTTTCTTTGGTTTATTTATTTACTTTTGGTCACTGGGATTAGAACTGCCACACCATCAGATGAGTGGGGCGACCAGGTGTGGCCCCAGCAGTCGAAGCCCTCAATAGCAAAATATTTTCAGACATGAAACACTGAGTCCTTCTCCTCCATCTCCAGTTCCTAAGATGCTCCCCACCCTGGTTAAGGAAATCAGCCTGCAGGAGTCATTCCCAAGTCCTCTCGCCACACAAGAACATGGAGAGTGGAACTGGGGATGTCTGCATTTCCACTGGAGGCTGAACAAAGGGAGATGATACTGCAGGAACAGGGGAGAGGAGAGAGCTCTGGAGGACTACCGGGAGCAGGGAGAATCTCGAAAGAGCACGGGACAGCGATTCCTCCTTAAGAGCCCTCTGGGCTGTGAGACACCAAGGATTTGATCTGCAGGAGGAAGGCAGGAGAAGAGACAGCATGGCCCCTGCAGGGCCTGCTCAGCACGCCTCTCCCCAGAATCAGGAAGCTTGCCTGGGCCCCTCCCCCACCTCCCAGCCCCCACCAAATTCTCCACCCCCAGCATACCCTGTTCCCCCCCACTACCACTCCTTCTCCGGGTGTGTGGAGCAGCAGAAGTTATGACGTCACCACGGTCGCCAGGGCGACGGGGATGGATAAATCAGGCTGAGTGGGCGGTTGCCATGGCGCGCATTCTCCCGTTGCCACGGAGACTGGGCATCTGCTCCCTTTGTGCTGCCCAAGTGCCTTCCCCCTGGGGTCAAGGGGTGTAAGGGGGCAGAAAGAGAGGCAGATACACCTCTAGGGGTCAGAGGGAAGTGGGAGCATCTGTGGGGTCTCCCTCAGTCTAGAGTCTTCCTTGGGGCTTCTTGATGAGGTGCTCCTACTTTGTAGAACTGAGGCAGCTCTTGTTGAATACTAGCCCCTGGTTGGGCTCTATCTTGGAGCCCAGGTCCCCATTCTCCCCCTAAGGAGAGCAGCACCTATCCCCCAAGTCGTCTGGGGCTCCACCTGAGCCTGGAGCCATGCCCCCTGAGCATCCTCCTCTACATCCTCTCCTTCCACTGCCTCTAATCCCCTCTGGTCCTAATCCTAAACAAGATTAGGCCCTGTCCCTTTCTTCCCATCAGCAATTTAGAGGGCTGAGGAAACCGCCTGGGCCTGGGCTTACTTGCTCTAGCCTCTCTGCAGATCCTGGCCTGGGGAGGGTTCTTGGGATGTTCAGAAGAGGTCTCCAGAAGTTGCCTTCTCTTCTCTCCTTTAGATGAACAGGCCGATCCAGGTCAAGCCAGCCGACAGCGAGAGCCGAGGAGGTAGGTTCTGTACCTTTGGACTCAGTCCCTCTCCCGCAACCCCCAACCTAGAGCTTGGAGTAGCTGAGGGGCAGCCTTTCCTGAAGAAAATCTGAGAATTCTGAAGGGCTCCCAGTCAAGCTGGGCATAGGAGTCAGCATGGCTGAAGGGGCTGTGATCTGGCCCATTGTACAGATGGCAAAACTGAGGCCCGGAGTGGCGTGCAAGTCCTTGAGAACCGGGATGAGCACTCTATGTAACTGGACCCCATCCCTGAACCATCACCCTTTCACACCCTAGAGACATTGGTCCCTAGGGTGAGGGGAGTGTCTGGAGCTCCAGGGAAGAGCTGAAGGTGAAGGGGTGGGACAGTCCCAAGCTGGAACAGGGCTGGAAAAGCATCGAGGAGACCCTGAACATGCCCCTCCTCCTGTGCCCTACCCACCAGAAGACCGGAAGCTCTTTGTGGGGATGCTAGGGAAGCAGCAGACAGATGAGGACGTCCGGAAGATGTTCGAGCCTTTTGGGACCATAGATGAGTGCACTGTGCTCCGGGGGCCAGATGGGACCAGCAAAGGTAGCCACCCACTACACCCTTCCCCACCAGGCCCTCTGGCCTTCCCGCCCTTCCCCCACTGGTTCCCTGGGCAATGGAGACTGTGGGGGCCATCATCGCTGGGCACTCACCCTTTCCTCCTCCTTCTTGAATGCTCTAGGCTGCGCCTTCGTGAAGTTCCAGACCCACGCCGAGGCCCAGGCGGCCATCAATACCCTTCACAGCAGCCGGACCCTGCCGGTAAGCCCCGCAACCCTGGGGCCCTCAGGCCTCTCTAGCCCTGCCTGGCCCACCATCAGGCCCTGGCTCAGAGGGGGCAGTCCATTCTGGATGGGGTCTTTGAATTTATTCAAAAAGAATTTTCTGGCAGAAGAATCAGACCTCTCAGGGACAGCTCCACATTTCACATAACATCCCCCTACCTCTTATCCCCTAACCCTATCCCTCCTCTTCAGTCCAAATGCCTTCAGCCTCCTCTCCTGCCTGCTCCATCCTTCAGCCCTCTCCTTCATCTCCTGCCTCTTTTCCCACCTTCCCATAGCCCCCCACCCTTATTGGCTGGGCTTCAGGACACTTGCTTAGAGGCCCCACATGCCCTCCACACATTTATTCTGCTGCCCCCACATATTAGCAGTGGGTCAGCTGGCTGCACTCGTGGAGGGCCCCCCAGCAGAGCAGACCTCTAAAATGGACCTAGCTGGCTCTGAAGGAGGCAAGCTTCTCCTAACTCGAGGTTCTCCAACAGTGGGCAAGCACTTAGAAGGCGCTTGGTCGAGAGGATGGAGCATCAGATAGAGATGCACTCTAGATTCTAGGATTCTGACAGTCCTTGCAAATGTTCCAATTTGGTTTTTATTTGGTTCAGGCTGTATTAAAATTTGAGGCTGCATTCCCTGACATGAGGATTGGAGTGTGGGGGTGGGAGTCATGGTAAGAGGGTGGGGTGGCTACAAGGCAAGACTAGCCTGAGATGAAACATTTGCTGTGGCTGATCCACCCTGGGGATGATTTGCAGCTCACAATCCTCACAGAGCAGCCAGGGATGCCCTTTGCATTCCAGTAGGCCTTTCCCTGTTCAAGTACATGGCTTCACAGTCCTCAACTCTTTCCAGTCTCTTGCACGTCCTGGCACTGGGGGAGGGGGGATGAAACTCTCCCCATTTGACAGAGGCACAATGATGGCTATCCTCCCAAAAAGGCCAACCCGTGAGTGGTGGAACTGAGGCCAGGTCCTGAGAGCTCTGGGGAGAAGAGACTCCGGACTCTGTCCCTCTGACCATATGTGGGGCCTGTGCCCAGGGTGCCTCGTCCAGCCTGGTGGTGAAGTTTGCTGACACAGAGAAGGAGCGAGGTCTCCGCCGAATGCAGCAGGTGGCCACCCAGCTGGGCATGTTCAGCCCTATTGCCCTCCAGTTTGGAGCCTACAGCGCCTACACCCAGGCCGTGAGCACTGCCCCCTGGAGCTGGGCCTGGCCCACCCCCTCTCCTCCCGGCCTCCTGTGTCCTGCCCCCACCCTCCCAATGCCAAGGCCCAGGGTTGGGAGGGGAGCCAGGCCAGGGCACAGGGGGCCTGGCCCCACTCTCCTCTCTTCCCCTTCCCTCAGCTGATGCAGCAGCAGGCGGCCCTGGTAGCGGCTCACAGTGCCTACCTCAGCCCCATGGCCACCATGGCTGCCGTGCAGATGCAGCACATGGCCGCCATCAACGCCAATGGCCTCATTGCCACCCCCATCACCCCATCCTCAGGTAAGGCTCAGCCAAGGCAGGCTGGGCAAGGCATGAACGGGACAATCAGGGGAACTACCACACGGAGGGGATAGAGAGGGGGCGCAGGGCATTGTTCAGGGAAGCCATGGGGTCCAGAAGATGCTCAGGGGTCAGAGTAGCCTGCTTCCTCCCCTCTGCCCTCAGACTTGCTGACTGGTTCTCTGCATTTGTGTGTGTGTCTGCTTCTCTGCTCTGTTTCTGTCACTTTCTCTTCCCCAGGAACCAGCACCCCTCCTGCCATCGCTGCCACGCCTGTCTCTGCAATCCCTGCTGCCCTGGGTGTCAACGGCTACAGCCCGGTGCCCACCCAGCCCACTGGGCAGCCTGCCCCTGATGCTCTGTATCCCAACGGGGTTCACCCCTACCCAGGTGGGGGTCTCTGCCTGCCCACCCCTCTTCCCAGCGACTATCCAAGCCCCCACTCCCATTGCCAGCAGCTACGACCCAGCTTCCCTCTCCTGGCTTCAGGGGTAAAGGCGTTTTCTTCTACTCTGTTATCCTGGGCAGGCGTGCTCCTTCCCTTTCTCAGCCAGGGAAGTTGAGGCTTAGAGAGGTGAAGTGACTTGTCCAAGGTTGCACAGCCAGTCACAGACTCCAGTCGTGCTAATGCCGGGCTCTCCCCTCTTCCCACTACTCTGTGCATTTCCACCCTCTCATTTCATACCCCACACCTGGATGAGACTCTCCTTCCCACCTGCCCAGCCTCTGCTCAGAGAGGCGCTGGTGGGACCCCCAGCTGCGTCCTAGCCCCTCTCTCACGATCTGCTCTCCCCAGCCCAGAGCCCCGCGGCCCCCGTGGACCCCCTGCAGCAGGCCTACGCAGGAATGCAGCACTATACAGGTGAGGGGTCCCAGCCCACGCCTGGCCTGGGGGGAGGGGTGACAAGAGGAAAAGAGGCCCGGAAGCTGGGTCTGGGCTTCGTGGCTCCCTGCCAACCATCCCTGCCGGCTTACTGACAGGCTACAGTGAGGATGTACTGTGAGGGGCAGTGCACCCAGGCTCTGAGGCAGCTCCTTCTCTGCCATCTGTCGACTCCATTGGCCTGGGCCAGGGGAGGGGAGACAGGGCTGGCTGGGAGGGCAGGGTCCAGGGGAATCTCGGGAGCCCTATTAGCTCTCTCTGTTCTCCCTACCCCAGCAGCCTACCCGGCAGCCTACAGCCTGGTTGCACCTGCGTTCCCGCAGCCTCCTGCCCTGGTCGCCCAGCAGCCCCCGCCTCCCCCACAGCAGCAGCAGCAGCAGCAACAGCAGCAGCAGCAGCAGCAGCAGCGGGAAGGTGCAGCCTGGGTGGGGTCCTCCCAGCTGAGAGACTTCAGGGATAGGTTGCCCTTGTCGGGCTTGGGACTCCCTGTCACCTGCTCCAAACCCAGCTCTGGCCCCATGTATGGGGGAGAAAGCGAGTGGGGATGAGTGGCTGGCGCCGTGGCCCATGTGTTGGGGGCTGGGACTGGAGGGTCCTCCCAGGACCTGCTTTCCCCGGGGCGCTGGTTCCTTGAGTCTGGCTCCCAATCACCGAGCTCTCCCTTCTGTCTCTGCTGCCACCCAGGCCCTGACGGCTGCAACATCTTCATCTACCACCTGCCCCAGGAGTTCACTGACTCAGAGATCCTCCAGATGTTTGTCCCCTTTGGCCACGTCATCTCAGCTAAAGTCTTTGTTGACCGGGCCACCAATCAGAGCAAGTGTTTTGGTAAGAATGTGATGATCCGAAAGATAAAATATGACACATTTTTGCCAAACTCCAAATAAGGACAAGGTCTGATACATATGAAGGCACTTATGGTCCCAAAGGGCCCAATATTTGAAATCCAGATTGTCCAAGAGTCTGAAAGAACCATTTTTTACATCCCATACCAGCTGCTGCCCAGGCGACCACTTCCTCCAGAAAACCACAGCTTCATCTTTTCTCCTTAAGAACTGGTCAAATTCACGCTCCATGAGGTCTGGAAGAGGCTCAGGAATGGGAATGTTGGTTTTCAAAAGGAAGGCTTAGGGAGCTGGGTTTAGTTGCCTTCGCATCTTTGAAAGGCTGCCTCAGGGGAGAAAGGGAACGTTCTTGTCCTGCCTGCTTCAGAAGTCACGTAGGGCTGAAGCAGTGTTTTCAAAAGGCAGAGCTATGCAGGCTGAGGAAGGGGCTGTCATTCAAAGACCACTGGAAAGAATGTCCTAGGGTGTGTGAGTAGCTGGGCTGGATTCATTCAAGTTGTCCACCAGCAACTCCTTACTGAATGCCTACTATGTGCTGGGCAGCTTTCTGGCCATTTGGGATACCTGGAGGAAGTAGGGTGGTGCTGGGGAACCAAAGAGCAGGCCCTGGCCCTAAGTACAGGAGAGTGAGGGGGCACTGGGCTGGGCCTTATGCCCCTCTCACCTCAGGCTTTGTGAGTTTCGACAATCCAGCCAGTGCCCAGGCTGCCATCCAGGCCATGAACGGTTTCCAGATTGGCATGAAGCGCCTCAAAGTCCAGCTAAAGCGGCCTAAGGATGCCAACCGGCCCTACTGAGGGCCCCCAGGTGGGTCCTGCTCCTGTCCTGTGACCTCTCCATTCCCCACACACTGCAGCCAGGGCCCTCACTTGGACTTCCCCCAAACCCTCTGCCACTAACCTCAGGGATGGCCACTCTACCCCACCTGACTCTGGGCACTTGAAGCAGGAATCTGGAGCAAGTCCCTCAGCTGTTTTTCAATCATCAAGTCATTCTCTCTGTCTCTCACGCACACACACACATACACTGTGACCTCAGAGAGAGCCAAGTCTGTATACATCTGTGTCCACTCCCCAGTTCTTCCCCAATATCTGGTCTTGTTTGTCTGGTCAGTGTCTGTGTGTCTGTATGTCTCTCTCTTTCTGGTTTTCCTTTGGGTTGCAGTGGAATTAGTGGAGTAGAGTTTGGAGAGTAAGGGGGCTGGCTTAGGATACCGGAATGTCCTAGAATATCTGTTCTCCTGAGAAGTGGGGACATCAGGTCCTCGGTGCCCTGGACTCCAGGTGATTTCTCATATGTAGCAGTAGACCATGGGACAGTGGAGAGTGCATAGAACAGACTGGGGGGAGTCCAAGCTTCAGGCCTCTCGGGAACAGCTTTGGTTCAGGTGGAGGAGGCCAAAAGGCTGGACTGCCTGTGAATTTCACTTAACAGCTCCCCTCCATCCCACTGCCCACCACCACCCAACCTCATGGCCACAGAGCTGGGAGCTTTGGTTACTTTTGTGTTGTTTAATCTCCTTTGGACCAAACCCCTAAAAAAAACACAACCCAAGAACAATACCCACATTTTCTGTTTCTCCCCCTTTCCCCCCAATCCTGGCTGCTTAACTTCCCCCACCCTGGGGGCCCCCCAGCCCAGGGCCCGTGTCCATTGTCGGCCGAAGCCCCCATCCCCGGACCCCTGCTCCGGGCCCCTGTAAGTTGCATGGAACGAGCGTGTTGTCTTTGGAGCCGATTGTTTGTTATTTGGGGAGGGGCCGCGGAGGGAAGCGCCCCCCAGCCCAGGGTCAGGGCCGGGGGCAGCTCGCGGGATGTGCTTGGTCAACAGTGGTCGGTGACTGTGGGCTGTGTTCTGTGCATTTCTCTCTTGCTTTCTTTGTTCCCTTCCGAAAAGGAATGAGAGCCCTCTCTAAGGGCAAGGGGGTCTCACCCCACGAGACTACAGCCCTAAGCCCCGCTCCGGGTCCTACCCTGGCCTGCTCTGCGTCCCTTTTGCAGATACCCCCTTGTTCTTTCTCCAGGTGTCTGTCCATACACTGCACCCCTTCTCCTTTCTCTGCATTATCTCTGCCTGCCTGTTTGTTGTCTCATTTCTTTGCCTCTCTCCTCCTCTAGTCCCTGTCTCCGTATTTCCAGTCTTTCTTTTTCTCACGGGCTGTTTATTTCCTTCCTCATATCCTTTGGTTTCTTGTATCATTTGCCCTCTCCCTCCCATCTCCTCCATCCCTGCCTCTTGTTGAATGGCTGAGGGGCCAAATGGTTCAGTCTGGACTGAGGCCTTTCTGATGACCCACCTTCCTCAGGCAGCTCCATCCTATACTGCGTCAGCCCCCTCAGCCACCTCTTCCCCCTGAGAGCCTGTGACCTGCATCAGCTGCCTTCTTCCCCATGGCTTCACCCATGTTTCCTTTCCTCACAGGTCTGGAGACACCAGAGGAAGGGGCACCTCTATCCCTCTCCCCACGACTGGCCCCAGCCCTCTCTGCACATCTGCCCTGGGCCTTGATTGGGTTCTGAGGCAAAAGCTGCTTCACGGCCCTGGGGGCACAGGACACCAGCCCACTCCCACCACCCCGCCTCTCCTGAAGGGCCTGTTTCCTCCCAGGTGCCCTTTTGGCCTTTGTGAGGGAGCAAGGAACAGGCTCGAAGGCTCGGGGGTATCTGCCTTCTGCTGGGGCTCCTGTGATGGGCCTTCTGTGCCCAGCATTCGCACTTGACTCCCCCACCAGTGGGCCTGTTCTACCTGTGCGGGCCCCTGGGAGGGCAGCGGGGGCCTCCCCTACACGCCCCAGCCCAGCCTCTTCCCCACATTAGGGGTTTCTCAGAAGCTGGTTCTCATATTCCCTGCAACCCTCAGCTAGAGGTAGGATATCCCTGAACCCTGGGCTAGAAGCCCTAGAACTCACTGCCTCCCCCAAGGGCCCCCTCGAAGGAGGGTGTGGGGGAGCCCTGAGGGCTGCCTCTTCGCCAGTCAGCCACAGAGACCCTCCTCCTTTCACGAGGAAAAGACCTCCCCCAAACCCCTAAAAATGTTTACAGTCTCTGCTGGTCCCCTCCGTGTAAATACCACTACCACCCGTGCGTTACCCAGCCCGGCCTGGCCTGGACGCTGCCATCTCTCTTTCTGGGAGTTTAGACAATGTTTCCCTTGGATTTTTCTCTCTCTTGATTTCTCCCTTTGCTTTGGGGGGTAATTGGGTATTGGGAGGAGGGGTGTAGGGAGGGCTAAAGGGGTTTATTACCTGATCATTTTCTTTAGGAAGAGGTTTTAGGGAAAAGAACTGGGGTCGGGGGGGAGTGGTAAGGGGAGACTGGGGAGTCAGTTTCAGACACTTCTCTATGCTTAACTTATTTATTTATTGCATTTTAAAGAGTTGGTCTTTTCTGTCTAAATAAAGAAAAATGTTTAAAAGCATCAAATAAGAGTCTTGGAAGGTTGAGGGCAGGGGCTTGTGCACATTGAGGAGTGGTGGGGAGGGAGGTGAGAAGAGCGAGGTTTGGGAGAGACAAGTCTACCAGGAAGGCCAGCCCTTGCCTTTGAGCCATGTCCATGCCCTATCACGGCTTCATGATGCTATTCTTCTGCCCTTTTTTGGGGCATAATTCTGGAATGCTCTGCAGAGCTAAACACAGAGGGAAGAAAGCAGGTCAGCAGGCCTCTCTCCTGTATCCAGCCCTGTCTCTCTGAAGGCTGAGGACTTGCAGCCTCACATCCCAGACCTCCACTTCTCCTTTGTTCATGTGTGTGACTGTCTCTGCACTTGACCAGTGGGGACACTAGGAGCTAACTGGACCACCACCATTTATTATGCATTTTCTCTCTATGTGGTTCTGTTCTAGGCCCTTAATGTGCATTTCCTCATTTAACCTCCCAGCAACGCTGTGAGGCAGGACATAATTTCACAGACAAGGAAATGGAGGCTCTGGAGGTTAATTAACTTACCCAGAGTCACAGGCTACTAAGGAATGGCTGCAGGAGTTGAACTCAGCTTGTCAGACTCCAAAGCCTGTGATGCTCTCATCTCACAGCTTCAACTACCTATTCTTTGACCTGAGGCAAAGATTCCCAAGAAGTATCAAGCAGGCGTGGCAGTGACCCCCATCAAGAAGAAGGTGGACTGTGTAAGCCCTAAAGGCCCTCTAGTTCCCAGCTCCTTCTCTGTGAACTTTAGGGCCGGGGTCAGGGGGCTCACACAGGTATAGTCTTTGACTTCATAGCACAAGGGCCATTTACTTCTAGGCTGCTACCTGCTTCCCCACCCTCATTATGTCCTTGCTTAGAAACTTGTTCACCTTCCAGCCCCTATCTGGCTTCAGGCCAGCGCTGTTCTGCGAGAGCACAAGGATGAATGAATCCCCACCACTCACCTCCCACCTCTGCCCCATACTCCTGGCTTCGCTTAAACTGCCCCAAACGAAGAATAGTTAAAAAGAGAAGCAACATGTGAAGTACTACAGAGATGTATCTGTGGACACTGTTTCAGGAAAAACGTCTCTTGGATTGGGAGACATCAGGGGTGGGACTTTACTCAGAAGGAAGATAAACCAATCAGCACTGGACTGGATTGTGCACGCGTGTGTGTGTGTGCCTGTGTGTTTGTGTGGTCAGAGATGGGAAGAAGTGTGTGTGAGGAGGACAACAAGAGTTGGTACTAACATTATGCATTTTCCCCTGAGCTGTCTCACAGTGGCTTCACAACAGCTTCTGGGTCAGGACAGAAAGATGGAAGGTGGGTGTGAGATCAAAGGGCATCTCCCAGAGTGATTTCCTGACTGGTGGGTTCTCCCAGGGAGGTAACAGGACTAGGAAGTCTCCTCCTTCCTGGCATCTTCCCAGATGTGAAGGAGCCCCTCGCACATACACGAAAGACTACATTTATTGTCTGTCACTGCTCACTGCACTATCCCCCAATCCCCGCACGGCTCAGTCATATTTTCTCCAAGAAAAGCAGTAGAAAAGTAAGGGTGAATAATGAGAATGAGGGAGACACAGAGGGGTCTTTTGAGGGAAACAAAACAACTTTTGGGCAAGGATTCTCCAGGCCCTTTGGCGGCAAAACATAGGAAGCCATCGAGACAGAAAAGGAAGCTCCTCATTTGTTTCTTGTATAAACACAGATTTTTTCAGGCATCATATTGGCTTCAAACATATATAGTAGGAAGGGTATAAAGCTACCAAAGTTCACTGACATCTCTTCTAAGCAGAAAAGGCCTTAGTAACAAAATGGGAGCAGAAGAAATAGGAAATGATGGCAATAGGATTTCTTAACTTCAAACCAAGCAAGATGAAACTCAGTACCAGTTTCTTCCTCTAAAATAATCAAGTTACTGTTCCAATGTTAATGGCAGCATAGAGAGAGAAGGGAAATAAGTTGAGGCAGAAGAGTGGAGCTGACAGGTTAATAGCAGGGATTGCGGGAAGTCTTCCAGTTATAGAAAGGAAAACAGACATTTAGAAAAATATCCTCAGTTAAGGGTACCACAGGGATGAAAATGTAGCAGGGGGGAAAAAGCTCTGGATAATTTCTTCAATGCATTCCCATCCCGTTCGTATTTTTAGAGCTTTGAGATGTCTAAACGTCATGCAAGGCATCTCCATTTCCTTTGAGTTAGACCCTGCGGTAGAATTCTCCTACTAAAATTTCAAAGCCTTTCACAGCCTCAGCTTCTTGTATTAGTGACTGAAGGAATTCCCACTCACGGCCAAGCCTCCTTCTCTTCCTCAAATCCAAGAACTTGAGCAGACCTGACCCATGCCCCTGCTTTCTAGAAGAGTCTCATTCTCTGGCCCACTTGCATCTACTTCCGAGTATTTAGTCAGCTTCCTTTTGCTCCCCATAAACGGGGTTTCCCACCAATATATTGCCTCCTCTCAACTGCTAGATGAAAATGACTCCCAGCTATGTGCTAATTTTTCTCCTGGACTCAGTTCAGCAGTGCCTTTCCTTCCTCAGTCTTCCTCACTAGTCACAGTAGCACTATGTACCTGCTCAAGCCCAAACTTTGATTACACTCTTTCTCTCCCGTCTCATATCCAATACAACTGGTTCTGTCTCTAAAAATATATCGTTGATCTACTCACATCTCCCCACCTCCACTGCGTCAACACTGTCCAGTTAGTGCACAGTCGCCCGCTAGAGGCCAGCAGCATCCTCCTCCTCATCTGCCTCCTGTCCTCCTACAACCTGTTCTCCACAGAGGCCAGTCACATTCTATAAATTCATTCACAGATGTTACTCTGCCTTGTTCCCCACTATATCCCCATCAACCTCTACAGTGCCCAGGACATTAGAAGGTGCTCAGCAAATAACTAAGAAATAACTGCTAGACATCTATACCTAGATTTCTCACCCAAGTCTAAACCATAATAGGTCCAAAGCTAAAATGTTTTCTCACCCAAAGTTGCAACTCTTAAATATTTCTATTTCTATCTTCCAGTCACCTAGACATGAAACCTTGGGAGTCTTTTACTTTTCTCACATAAATTCAAAGCTTTTAGATCATAAAAGATTTTACTTCCACAAGTTTTCTCATCTCCATTTCCCTCTCAATTATCACTGCCTCCACTAAACTAATCATAGCAGTCTCCTAACTGATCCTTTTGTATGTATTCTGAAACACCAGTGTTTCTAAACTGCAGCTGATTAAAAAAAGTTTGTTTGTTTTTTTAATGTAGAGCACTTCACCCTGCCATTCAAAGCTCTTCAAAGCCTTATCTTCCATCCTATTCCTATATATACCCTAAATTTTAAGCGAGTAGGACTATTTGTTGTTCATCTGGACAAGAGTGATCTTCCTCCCCTATTCCATGTCTTTTCACTCCCAGTTACTCCTGTCTGGCACATAATGGCTCAATAAAGTTAGCTGAGTGCTTTCCTGTTGAAATCCTGCTCATCCCGAACAATTCATTTAAACATCACTTTCTTCATGAAGATTTCCTTAGCTGCCTTCATCCAGAGGCATGCCATTCTCCCTCTTTTTCTAGTCCTTATGGCACCTTCCACTGCCATGTACCATGGTGATCTGTCAATCTCTCATTCCTCTGTGAGGCTGAAAGCTAGTGGAATGTTTCTTACTTTGGTTTTGTATCTGTCGCAGTATCTAACACAATACCCTGCACACAGGAGACATTCAATAAATGTTTACTGACTTTAACTTCTGTAATTCTAACTCTGGAATTCCACTTTATACTTCTCTATGGATTCTTTCCTTGTTAAAGAAAACAAATTTCCCCCATTAGGATGGAAATATCTGTCAGATTCCAATCATTCAATGCTGAGGCTGAGTGAATGAGACCAAGAACAATGTCTCTCTCCTCAGCTGCCAAACAAAATGTCAAACTAGTCCTTGCTCTGATGCTCTTCAATCAAGGAGCAAAAGCACACAGTTAAGGGTTATAAAAATAATAAAAAAGGAAGGTTTATAAAAATAATAAATATGTCCTACCTACCATGAATGCTGAGCTTTCCAGAGCAGATTCCGTCCATAAACTAATGCACAGAGAGGAATAGGAGCTAAGAGTGGGTAATTAGGCCACGGCATCTGACATTCCTCTGTAAAAGCAAAGAGCATGCAGGACCACACTTTTTCTCAGGGGTGTGGGCAGAGGAGGGGCCATAACCATCCAGAGTGCCTGGCATTGTGCTGGCATTCATTAGGGGTACTATGTACCTTTCAGTTCAGATTCCAGAGAAGTTTCCTGAGTTGAAAAATGAAAAAAGGAAATATATACATGTTGCTGGGGGAAGGGGACAGGGTTACGATCTGTCCCAAGGGCTTTGCCAGGCTCTAAATGCATAAAGCTGAGGGAGAGGAGTCCTGTGAGTCTTAACATGGAGTTTGTGCAGGCTAGCACAATCAACCCTTGAGATCTGAGGGAGAAGAAGGAATCTTTAAAGGAGCCACTGGAAACAGATCATTAGGCCAGGGGCCTCCCAGCTTCTCTTTTTCCCACCCTAGCCCATTTCCTGCCCTCAAAAGACTGCCTCACTAGTAGCTTGGGAGAACTGGTCATATGTTCCTTCCCATCTGACTGACCATTCAAACTCAAATCTCAGAGGTCCCTCTTCACTTCTTCCCACACAACCCAAAGGATTTGTAGTCTAGGAAACCAAAGAATAGTTTCATCAATAAATCAATTTATTTAAAAGAATATGTTACAATTAATTACACTAAGTGACATTTACCAAACAATTTTAGAGTGGTTAGCTCTAGAACAAGGAATGAAAGAAACACTGTTAGCCATTATGTGTCTGTGTATTTTCTCTTCACATTTCTTAAATCACAAATAAAAAATACAAGATACTGCAGTGAAAATACAATTAGAGTTTCTCTCAAATAAATTAAAAGTGTCATGGCCTGGGGAAAACTGAAGCCCAGCTCACCGGCTTAAAAGGGGGGCATGATATAAAATTGGTGTCCAAGGTTAGCAGTTGGCCCAGTGCCTCCACCCCATATCACTCCCCTCTTCAGTTCTGTTCCTCCCCAGAGCCCTAAGCTTCCCACACAGCCTAGATTATTGCTGAGGAGTGAGCTGATGCTGTCCTGCTATGAGTGAGGCCTGGCATGATATACTCAGGTTTAGGAGCAGAGGAAGGCAGGAGGGAACTGGAAGATGAGGAGCTAAAGATGCACATCATCACTTCCATTCTCTCTCTCTGCGTGTTCAACCACATCATCCTCCCTCCAAAAGAAAGCTCACATGACACAATGAATCTGGTGAAGGAACCTAGCAGTATGTTGGGGTCCCACAGACCAAATGGTTTCTCCTGCTGAATCAATCCAGCCAGAGGGCACGATGGACAGAAGGGAGGGCACGGTGGTCCCTCCAGGTCTGGAGACTTCAAGTTAACCAGGATGCAGTCCCCTTTAAGAAAACTGCCTCCTAGGAACCAGGCCCATAGTTGGTAAATTCTGAGATGAGAGAGAGAGGTGTCATCTCCTGTCAGTGCCCTATATTGCTGCTCTAAGCACTGGGTTTGGAGCTACAAGAGGGGATAACCCAAAGCTACTGGCCTGGGTAACTGAAGGATGAAACTAGATGGGCCAGGCATGAGGATGTTGAACTAATTCCTTCCTGAGAGCTCTGTCCAGTCCTAGGAGCCACCCTGAGCACCCACCTGTGCTAAGCTGAGGCCTAGGGCAAGGGGAGGGCAGAAAAACGGAGAGTAGAATAAAAATATAAAGAGCAGAGAGCCCAAAGCATGGCCCAAGAGAACCTTTCTGCAGGGACAGGTTTCTCAGGGACTGCATTTTCTCCTGATCGCTAAAAAACTCTGAGCTTTTACCAAAGAGGACAGAAACTGATTTTGGAGGAGAGGACAACAGGAGATCAGGAAGATCCTGCTGGCTCTGCTGGGGCAAAGCAGGGGGAAGGGGCATCCCCTCCATTTCCCAGAGACAAACTGCAGAAGAAGACTGGGTAGAAGCCTCCCTGGGCAGAACCCAGGACTAAGGAAAGTAGTAGGGATTACAGAAAGGAAGTGCAGAGCACGGGGGAAAGGAGTATCACACTAACACTGCTTCATGCAAAGAAGAGCTTGATCCTGTGGAGCCCCACAGCCACGGTGACTTCTGCCCATTGCATGAGGCCTGCTGCAGGTGGAAGAGGAGAAGGCGCGGTCCTCCAGGGTCTCCCTCCTTCCCCCTCCTTGCTGCAGCTGGGTGCTTTGTTCGTGGTACAGCCTCAGGTAGAGGCTGTTCCTAAACAGATGCTGCCAAAAGGCCAACGCCCTATGGGGCCCTCACCCAAAATCCAAAGCACCAAGTGAATGCTATGCCAGAAAGGGACCGGTGCAGCATCTACCTACTCGAAGGGGCCTCCATCCTAAGGGCATCCCCGCTACGTCTCTTATCCGGAGGTCAGCGTTTGGGCTGTCGCACGGACTCCTGGATTTGTTCATTCCTCTCCCACTCTGAGGGAACAGGGGAAAATTGCTGCAATTTTTACAGTTTGAACACAGCTGGTGCCAAAAGCCTCTTTAGCATCTTCGAGTGGGAAATCAACATATCTTCTTTCGAGGGACCTTTGGCTCATTATTAAATTCATCCAAGCCAAAAGCAGTTAATTCTACGTCAAAGCCTTCAAATCAGGGATCATTCTCTGCAACTTTTAACATTCAGCATTCTTACATTTTGTACTCTGTGATCCACCTGGGTCTGGAAAAGGTAAGGGAAGGTGGGATGTCCTATATGACCCAATATTCCCTTGAGGCAAGTGGCTGCCAGGATAACAGAGCGAGAGAGAAAGAAAAGTGGCCTCACAATGATATGCAAAAACAAGTTACAAAAAAGGAAACTTCAAACCACCCCAACACTGCTCAGTTGAGTTGACTACAACCAGCTATGGTGCCTCCCAGTTAGACAAAGCAAAAGATACCACCCTATGGAGGTTTTTGTTCAGAAGGTGAAGAAGAGAAAAAGAAAAGAAGGCTCAAAGATGTGTTCCAGTTATTTCAGAGCCTGACTTAGAGGTCCTGATGCAGTATCTACAAAGCCCGGGGGCTGAGAATATTGCCCTACCCGAGGCAGCCCTGGCCCTACATTCTGGGATGGAGCTCTTAAGTCTCAAAAGGTCTAACTGCAAAGTCAGATAAGGAGCTCTTTGAGGAACAAAAAGGTTTTCCTTCAGTCTCCTTTTAATTAAAGGTTGAGATCCAACCCAAATCAACCATAGTCCTACTGCTCCTTCCTGGGTCCTCAGCTGGCTTGGATAGGCTATGGTTTGGTTGGCACAGACCACTGACCCATTCCAATTCGCCCCAAAGCCTTGGAGATATTGTCAGATCCCTCCCCAACGCAGCTGTTTCAGGAAGTCAGAGATAATGTTATAGTTATAGGTGGTTACTGGTCAGGAATGGAGTAGGGAAAAGCTTATGCACACGGGGCATTTCTTCCATCCTTTCCCCTGCCTAAGTCCAACCTTTGTGCCTAACGGTATCAGCTTTAACTCTGGCCCCTAGTACCATCACTGCTTCAGAAATGAGAGGGAAATAGGAAATTACGACCATGAAGTGTTTCAGGTTCCTGTGGCATCAACCTCCTGAGCCCACCCTCCCCTCCATTCTAGGCCAGTTGAGGGAAAGCATACAAGTGACCCTGGGGAAGCAGGAGGGAAATGTGGAATGTGGCTAGAAAGCCACGAGTGGAAGAGAAAGATGGACCAGAGAAACTGTCTTGGAAACAAGAGACCACACCAAGTCTTCAAACTCTCCCTGCAGATCTGCAGCCTGGCTGCCCTTGAGAAACACAGCTCCTTCTCCTCCCCAGCAGCCTCCTGGAAGATAAAGAAACTATGCTCCTTGCTTTTCAAACTCTATGGCAACCCATGAGCCAGAATCTTCACTCAATACAAAAAAGGGGGGAAAAAACCCAAGCAGGTTGTAAACTTTTCAAGTCCTTCATGAGGAGAGGTATTTTCCCTGTAAATTTTTTTTTTTTCCTTTTTAAAGTTTGTTTCAAAATAAAGACAGCAAGAGAGAAGTCATGAATTCTAGTGAAAGGTGTGTAAAAACACAAGCTAAAAAAGGTACTGCCATCAATATGAAATTTAAAAAGAAATATATATATGTATATACGTGCAGCTAATTTGTGTATATATAATTTTTACATACATACATATATATGTCTGAACAGTGCAAATGGATGGAGTTCATAGTTCCAGTTTTAAAAATATAGTACAAGGAGAGTTTGTTGGTATGAGGCCCAGGTGAAAGGACAAAGATACCTTTGGCGAGTTGGTTGGGTGTATTTCTTTTTCTGTCTTAACTCAGTTGACTCCTGGTGCTGACCAATCTGTTGTTCTCTACCAGCTCAATTCCAGAGACATGAAATTCAGAAGGATTATTAATAATATTTAGTTTAGGGCTTTTGAATATAATGACTTTTTTCCTTTTTCTCTTCTTTTGTGTTAATGGTTACTCTGTCTGACATGGGAGATGAAAGGGATAAGAGGACGAGGGCGAAGAGAAGGGAAGGGGATAAGGAAAGGCTAGGTGGCCACATCCCTCTGCTGTGACCTCGCCACCTGGAAAATGTTCTGAAAGGAAAAAAAGAAAAGAGTTATTGGGAAGCCTTCGGTGTCCACATTTCCCCCATCTGGAGACAACCCCTTAACTAGAAATGGAAAATGTATGACTAGATGACCTGATCTGACTGGCTTCTTCCACTGATCTAACTTCCCATCTAGAATCACAGCCTTTTAGAGCTGGAAGGGACCTTGAACATTAATTATCTGTTTCTGCCTTCTCGTTTTACAGACGACAAAGGATGAGAAAACCGAGATCTAGGGAGGCTGATTTGCCCAAAATCATAGGGAGAAAAAAAGCTGGTAGAAAATCCAGATCTGATTCCCAGAACCCAATGTTCTTTCTTCTACACCAAGAATATAAATTTTCATGTTCCTGATTTTACCTTCTGAACCTCGGAAACATTTTCTTTGAGAATAAGCAGCTAATTATTCAGAATCTTCCAAATTCTGCTCCAGCACTGGCATATACAGACAGCAGTAAAGCAGTAGCAAAAACTTTCCCAAACATACACATTCTTGGTTATTAGCCTAGACAGCCTCTGTCATGGCTCATCCAGTCAGAACGGTTCAAACTGAGGACAGCTGCCCTTCTGGGTCAGGAACAACATGGAGGGTAATTTGATAAAAAACAGGCAGAGGAGGATCCATGAAGTCATGAGGGATGGAACAGCCTGTAGCCAGTGGCCACCCTCTGGACAAGGGTAGAAGCAGGGCTTTTTTGTACAGTCCATTCAGCATCCAAAGGCTAACCTCTCTGGAAGAGTATCCTGGCTCACACGGGATAACCAGTCTCTAACTAATATTCCTAGAAAGACAGAGATGGAGGTGAGGGTCCCTCATATTTGGCCATGAGCCTATAAATTAAAAAAAAAAAAAAACAAAAAAAAGACGAAAAAGTCAATTTAAGACTGTTTAGAATTACCTCTTTTCTCCACTTGAGCTCGCAGAACACCCTCTCGAAGCACTCATGCATGTAATTGAACTGGAAAAAAAACACAGCAACACTCACTGGCTTCTTAAGACGGGGCACCACAGGGCCACACCTTTGAACTCCTGCCCCCAGTCACCCCACCTTCCAAATTTGCTGAGCATGACAAGCACCACAAAACCGAGGCCTGGCTCATCTACTATTCTCTGGCTCCTTCTAGTGGTAACTGTGAGTCAAGTGGGATGTGAAATTGCCAATCCCAGTCAGGCGTAAAGGAAACGGGGAGAACCTGGGCCTCTGAGATTCAAACAGGTTCCGATCTCAAGACAACGGCTATTTCTCCAGTTACGCATTTAGCTTAAGGTGAACTTTAAGCCCAATCTACTTTCCCCAAGCATGCTTCCCTGTCTACCACTCACATATGGTGTGAAGATTTTAACCCATCGAGGCTTCTTCTCTCCTCGTGCATATTCAAAACAGAAGGCCATTCCTTCTTCATCAGTATCCCATCGCTGCATCTCATCCCATTCAAATGCTATTACTTGGTTCTAAACAACCAAGAACAAAAAGCGTAAGTTTGAGAATGCTGGGGAGTTTAGGCAAGATGGCTCTGAACTAGGTAGCAGAAGAGACATGCGTGGAGATGTCTACATCATTTCAGGGAAAAGAGTGTGACAGAAGAATACAAGTCAGTGTAAACAGCCAAAGAAGGTGAGGAGCAGTGTGGATCAGTGCCTATGTACCCCAGTCAGAACAGTTTTGATTTCATTTCCCTCCAAGAAGAAACTAAAACCTAACAAGTGAGCGAGCATCAAAGTATCCCCAGCACTCCCAGCCCCAGCCCTCTGCTGAACTCTCACCTCTAGCTGTCCTTCCTCAGTGCAGGCATGCAGTTTAAAGTGCGTGATGCTGATGGCTGTGATAACATGACCCTTCCTCCTGGAGTCACAGGCACAGTGGGGGAAGATGATTTCATTGTAGCCCTCACAAGTCCTTAGCATGTTGAGGTACTAGAAAAAAAAAAAAAAAAAACGCAAGGAGAAACATTGTCACTACGGAACTAAACCACCAGGAAGAGCTGCTGAGATGGACCAAGAGAGAGAACCAAGAGAATCTCCTCACCCAGCAACCTGAAGACCTTGCCTCTGGTCTCACAGCATCACTAAGTTGGGACAGGACTCCAAGATGATTCTTTATGCCACTTTCAACTTCCACCTACTCACTTCCAACCCCACCTCCCTTCTCTACTTAAAAAAGATACACAAATGAAGCCAGAAGAGACACTGCAACAAAGACTCCTAGGACTAGAAAGGAACTCAGACTGCCATTTAGTCTGGCCCTCTACTTTCACCGTACGTACCTAAGGAATGGGCATCAAATCTATCCCTATAACTAAGGAAAAGGAGCTAATGCTTCTCCCCATGTCTTCTCCAATCAAAAGTTACAATGTGATGAGGATTAAGTTACCCAGAATCTCATATTCATAAAATGTTTAAGCTGAAAGAGACTTTAAAAGCTAGTCATTTATAGAAATCCAGAGTAATATGAGACTTGCTTAGTCACAGGTAATAATAAGTAACACAAGCAGGATTAGAAGCCAAGTTTAATTTCTAGGCCACTCTGATTCTTTCTTTACCACCAACTAGTCCCCATATTAGCCCCACTGTCCCCTGGGTCTCCAGTATATATGCCTTCTTAAAAAGCATCTGGACCAAAATCAAGCGACATACATGACCTTCACAGGTACAATGCTACAAGATTAATCCAGAGAAGTCTCTGAACTATGGACTCTAACTCAGCTCTTTCTTCCCTCTCCTCCACAGTTAAGGCTGTCCTCTCTTTTACTCAACTCACTATTTCCCTATTTATTTTTGCTGAGGTAAAATAATAGTAACTTTGAAGATGAAAAATTATAAAAGAGTAGGAAGAACACAGGGACAACTTCAATTCAGAAGTGCTACAATACTTCATTTGCATCACTTTTCTTCTCTCATCTCTCCCTCCTTCTATCACCCTACTCCATCCCCCTTTAACATCATCCTTCCTGTATCAGTGATAAATGTGGATACCGCTGAGCGCTGCTATTGGCATTATGACGAAAAGAAAGCCCTGGCCACTATACTTTGGTGTAAGTATGACTGACAGGCAGCGGGTAGCATAGGAGAGAACTCCTCTGGGGTTCTAACAAGCAGCAAAGATTGGGACAGGCAGCAGTACACAGAGAAGTGATTACGAGCCTGAGCCCAGAGTGCCCTGGACTTGAATCCTGGCCCCATCACTTCCTAACTATGTAAGCTTGGCAAGTTACTTGAACTCAAGCAACTGACTAAATCCTAGGAGCATTAGTTTCCTCTTCTGTAACAAGAGAAATAATAATAGCACTTACAGTTACTTGTGAGCATTCAAGTACTTAGCACAGTACTTCACACATAATTAGGTATTCAACAAATGATAGCTTAAAAAAATAATTTTAAGGCCTCCGTTATCCTTAGCCAGAGGTCTCAACTATCGTCTCTCTCAAGAATGCCCTGTGAAATGATGTATATGGAAATTGCTTTTAAAAACTCCAGGAGAAAAAAGCATGAGAGTGAGATAGATGAAACATGAATGGCAGGAAGTTGAAGGCTGTGGAAGCTGGGTAATGAGTACATGGGGACTAAATGTACTATTCTTTCAACTTCTTTACATATTTGAAAATGTCTACAATAAAATGAGAAAAGAAAAAGAATAATACCTGTAACCAGCTAACCAGGCCTCCCGCACTCAATCCCAGTCATCCTCCTACCACACTTATCAGAAACTTTCTGCATGGCTCAATAAGTGGCAAATTCTGCTCAAAGATGCTTAAGAGCTCTGCAAATGCCAATGAGCTGTCATGGAGCCTTGACACTAGTTCTGCTCATGTCCTTCAAGAAAAAAGGCTTTCATAAAACACACTTGCTAAGAGTTCTCTTCTTTGAGAGGCACCACTACTGTTTCAAAAAATATTTCTGCCATATTCCTTATTGGGAGTTTTACTGTATAGATTTTTTAAAAAGAAAGAAACATGTAGACAAAGGGAGAGATTAGAAAAGATATCAGAAGAGACATGGAGCTCTGCATATCTGGAACTCTCTTCTTGAGCCCTTGCATAAATTACCTAGGGACATCCCCTCTGTCATCTGGAAACAAAGGACACTGCTGCCACCCTCCCTTCTCTGATGTGGGGACAAACATATGCTTTGAACCAGACAGAAATGGGTTCAAGTCCTAGTTCCACTTCTGACAAGCTATGTGGTCTTGGGTAAGAATCTTCACCTCTCAGACTCCACTTCTCTTCTGGAAAGTGGGGATAACACCCGCATGGCTGTTACGAGGAGGAAATGAGAATGTGCACACAGAGCCTAGAACAGGACCAGGCATACAACATGTGCTCCTCTCTCTCCCCTTTGCATTAAAAGGCTCATTTATCCCTCCATATTAAAAAATGTAGTCCTTGAAAGCACAAGGCCTTCAGGGGACTTCCTAATGGCATAATATCTAAAAATAACCTGAGTGAAAACTAAGGGCACCTGTGGCCTTGGTGAGAAGACACAGGTCAAGTCTCATTGGGAAACTTCAGGTTTTCAGAGATTCTCAGGTCAGGCAGTATTTCTCAGCTTTATGTGGGCAATCTCTACATTCCTGGATTTGCACAAAGTATAAACAGAAGAAACATTTAAAATTTTACATAAATCCAAAATTTCCAAAAGTGAATTTTTCCTTTCAAACATATTTACATAAGGATGTAGCTATATATTTAAAACACAAAACCATCCTGTCCATTCTCCTTTCATATTAAATTTTGAGTAACTAAATATGTGCCCTAAATTACCTTCCTTGATTCACATTCCACTTCGATGATGGCCCACATTAGGCCAGAGAAGAGGAAAGGTATAGCATGGGACATTTTATAAATGCTCAATATTCAGCAAGATAAGTAAATATAGAAACAGTATAGTTATTAAAGCAGAGATGCAGTACTTAACAGAGCAGAACACTTTACGTGAGTGGGCTGAGGTCATTCTGGAGAACTCTCTGTTCCACCAAACAACCTGCCAAGGGTCAAATCAGGTCTAAAATTGAACTAAGGGCTTAAGAGGAACGTTGGAAGCCAACTCTCCCAAATTCCTAGAGTAGTGATTCTGAAGCACTTACAGTTTCAGAATCACCTGGGGCTTCTGTAAAAATCTTTTCTACCCCCAAAGATCCTGGCTTAGTAAACGTGAGGTGGGGTCCAGAAATCTGAATTTTAATTAGGCTTCACAAGTGATTCTCATGTAATTAAGCTGGGGACCAGTTTGAGAAACAATGACTTTCACATATACTGCCTTGTGTGAAAATAATTACAAATTATGTTGAGAAACACTAACACAGAAACTTCTTGTTTGTCAGTTCAACAATGGCAAAATCAGATCACTCCAACATAAGAAAAACATAAATTACAGATGTCTACTATTTGTATGAGAGTAAAACATGGAAAGAAAAAACAAAATCTCTCTTGTACATTATATTCTCAACCATCAAAATTTGAGGTTCCATCTAACTTTGCAAATGAGTAGAAAACAAAAACATTTTTGATCATACTGGGCATTACAAACTATGGCAAAGATAGGATCTGTCCTCCATATTTGGAGAGCAAGGGGACTTATACAAGGCTTATTTACCTACCAAGAACTTGGAAGTATTTTGTCAAGATTCTACTTGATAGCTAGCAATCTGAACATCTCTATTTTACAGAAAAGAAATTAAACTGAGAAGTCTGTTCAAGTGCTAAGTCTCAGTGATTTGGCCTAATCTTAGGCCTATACCGTACTAAGTTGCTATAAATAATGGTATCAAGACCTATGGGCTCCGAAGGGTCCATCTGAGTTGGAAGTTTCAATGTATTGACCATGACCATTGGCTGGCTAACGTCTCTGAACACTAATACTTGAATACATGAAATTGTACTTGAATAAAATTCAAAATTTGGGGGGTTTTCTTTAAAATCTGATTGCAGTATTACGGGGCTAGAACACACTTATATGCTGGCACTAGTTTTTTAAGAAAAAAGAATTCCATGAATGTTTAAGCATATATTTTGCACTCAATTCTGATGACCCACGGGGAAACACATTAATATACCAACTGTACTCGAGTTCTTAACTGGGTGATTACAAGATATAAACCTGAGTCTAAAAATAATTTCATAATAGACTACTAGGCTTGTTAAATTCAGATTTTCTGTATTCTGCCAGAGAACAACCCAAACCTATTTATTTCTCTAGCTCTTTGCACTGTGCCTGGCACACAGTTGGTGCTCAATAAATATATTTTGTTGAATGCATAAATGGAAGATAGCATATTTGGAGCCCTGTATGTGCAAAGAAATAATATGTATTCCATACTGGTATTATCAGAAGTCCTCATGAAATTATTTTGATTCTATTGGCTTTGGCAAAGGTAAAGAACTATTGCAGAGGTTGATGGCCCTCTAGTATTTGGCCCATTTCACCAAAAAGATGCAGATAGATCTGTCAGAATCATGTATTATATAGAAGACAATGCCATTATCCTAAACAACAGATGGAAGTTGAGTTTTCAAATCCTATCTCCCACATAGTAAAATTCCCTTAACCAAAATTCTGCCAAGACTTAATTCTATTTGAAAGATTTTTGTGTTGTCTATTTCAGCCTGTTGGTATGCAGAACATTGGTAGATGGTTCCCTGATCTTTGGCAATTTTCTAAGGCAAAGAGATGTATTACTTTTCATCATATAAGTGATAAAATAACTCTCCCAGCTAGACATAAGATTATGGGCTAAGTTTAATGGCTGACTTGTTTGCATCCTTATTCCAACTCAATTAATCTAGACGGATGAGCATTCCCTCATAAAAACTACACAGAGGGGCAGGCCCGGTGACACAGTGGTTAAGTTTGCACCTTCCGTTTCAGCGGCCTGGGGTTCGCCAGTTTGGATCCCAGGTGCAGACATGGCACCACCTGGCAAGCCATGCTGTGGTAGGCGTCCCACATATAAAGTAGAGGAAGACGGGCACAGATGTTACCTCAGGCCAGTCTTCCTCAGCAAAAAGAGGAGGATTGGCAGCAGTTAGCTCAGGGCTAATCTTCCTCCAAAAAAAAAAAAGAAATAAAATAATAATAATAAAAAAAAGAATTGAAAAAAAGTGCACAGAAAGTACAAAAGAAATTCAAGTGACCTATCAGAATCATTACTAATGCAATTCCTGCCTTGTGTGAAATCATGAAAAATTATAATTGGAAAATTTTCAACTATATGTGAATTTGCCAAGAAAGAGATTTTAAAATGCTACAAGTGGAAGTTTTTGTAAGCATTCTTTACAAATTTTATTTTTGACAATTTCCATGCCTGTATTTATGGCAGATACAAATTGAAAACTAATTTTAAAACATTTAAGGAATATCCTAGGCAGCCCTCTCCAACAGAACTTTCTATGGTGATGAAAATGTCTATATCTGAGCTGTCCAATTCAGTAGCTACTAGCCATGTGTGACCACTCAACACTTGAAATGTGGTTAATGCATCTGAGGAACTGAATTTTAAATTTTATTTAATTTAAATGAATTTTAAATTTAACTGGCCACACAAAACTGGTAGCTATCAAATTGAACTCTAGGACATCATACTAACCAAAACCATCACTCAGCATAAATGTTTAACTAACTGCAGAGAAGGAAGTTGTAAAAGCATATGATTTTGTGATTGCTAAATCACAACTAAAATAATTTCTAATGTTAAAAATCTATCAATTCTTACAGAATCTTTATCATATCAAAAGTTGTGCATATCTTGTGTTTTACAGTTTTTTTAATCAAAGAGAACATGTCTGGCTATTATTAATAATAAAGTTATTCCTACACAGGGCACAATAAGCTCTTTGTGTGCTAAATGGAGGAACACAATGGACTTTACATCAAGGTCTACAACCCTCTCCTTTGTTTTACTTAGTTAAGCCACTGACCAGGTTACAATATCTTTCAAAAATGACTGGGACAACAGGTTTAAGAGATAAGAAGGGGCATTTTATAAAGAGACGGTGGGGACATAAACCTACCATGACCATTTTCCTTTGTTCATACAGCTTCTGTAATTGGTAGGACTTTTCCTCTGCTTTGATGTAACCTTTTTTCACATCATCAACAGCCTGTCACCAAAACAAAGGCAGGAAGAAACGAATGTAAAAATTATTATCAAGTACATTCTTGATAAAAACAGACAAAGATAAGTTTTCAGAATAACTCTTATCCATGTGGACCACCATCATCATCATCACCAGTGAACTCTACCACGTGGGGATATTATTGGAATAAGTAGCATTTAAAGAGTGTCTGGTATGTGCTCAAGGATTGCTCCACGCACATGAGGGATCTGGTTTGACATGTTAAAAGATTTAAATTCCAGGTAATTTATATATGTGAAACAATTAGAGGATACTGAAAGATGGCATATAACACTGTATTAAAGGTAACAATGAAGTAGCAAAAATGTATGGTATAGATAGTAAGTGATAATATGTAGTCAGAACAGGAGGGCTTATTGACAATTGTAGTTATCAGGGAAGCCTTGATTGGACCCCAAAGGACAGTCTGAATAAAAGAAACTACAAGCTGAAGCCAGGAAATAGAAACGAGTTTGAGCTTAAATACACTCAAGAGGCAGATCTGCTTGATTTGAATAAAGGGTACATGTTAGGGTACAATGAAAAACAATGCTGGATGGGTAGGTTAACAGATTAGGAAGGATCCTAAAAAGCAGGCACAAGAATTTAGACTTAAGGACAGCAGGGAGCTAAAATAAGCACTAAAAAATAGATTTTTTAAAAGAAAGACTGACTGGCGTATGAGTGCCAAATGAATTATGGTTAAGGAGAGAATGAAACACAGGAGGACTAGTGATTTTGTGGTATTTTAAGCATGAAGTGAAACAAGATCTTAAACTAGCGTGGTAGCAATTGAAAGAGAGGAAGTGATAAATCTGAGACCGTGAATGGAAAAAATCCCAGACAGGACTTGATACAGGCACGAAGGCACCCAGGTATAATATGCTAATTCTAAACTACACCTGGTTCAGCTATATGAAATATGCATCCCCTTCCTAACTTCACTCCACCCCAAGAAAAACCTTTAAAATCTAATGGAAGGGAAAACTGATCTCTGGGACAAAAAAAGAAAAAGAATAAATAGAATCATTTGTCCAGGGCATTCAGAATCTAACCTCAGTGAGTTCCAGCACAGACACCTCTAGACAGGCACCAGGCAGGGGGCCCACTTGAACCTCTATCAAAAGACTGCCCATTTCCTTAAGTAGAACTCATTCCCTATAGTCTTTTAAGGGAAAATGTTTGCATAACAGAACGAGTTCAAGATTGAAATCAAGAGAATAGTTCAACTTCTAGCTCCGTCACCTATCAATGTGTGCTTGAGTAAGTCACTTAAACCCTCTCAGTCTGTAAAACAGGAAGGATACTCGTCTCATAAGTAGACAACAAAATGAGCTAACAGATGTTACGAGTTTTGTAAAGTATACATAAATAGTTATCATTAGCATTGTTCAGCTAAGTTCTTCTAAGAACCACACAAGGATATTAATGTCCTTCCTGGGACTGCTTAATGGAAAGATTATGCCAGTCTCTCCCCAATCCTAGTCATACAAGCAAGGAGTCACTTAGGCGCAGAAGATTATATTCACAGAGGGGACACTTGACAAGAACTGGCACGCAATGTCCTAAGAATATGAACACTTGGTTATTGATCACCAAAGGATTTGGCTGCACCAGGCCAAATTTAAACCAGTTACTGAGGAGCTGGGAGAGAAGTAAAGAAGGAAAACAAAGAAATACATATTGGTCTGTCTATTCTGTTTCCCAAGTAACTTAAAGTGTTATTAGCTAAGGGAAAAGGCTCTTCTGATGACCAAATAAAAATACTGTATTTCTGTTTTCTTCGTACCAGTACCTGTTTTCTTCGTACCAGTTCTTCCCCAGTACTGAGCACTGTGTCTGACTTGTTACAGCACTTAAATATTTGATGAACATATCGCCAGCGTCAGAGTGAACATCCACGCCAGCAACTCTAAGTGAACTGTTTTCACGTGGGGCAGTAACAACGTTCTCTCCCATTTCTAATCAAGATTATATTGCTTGACTAGCCCTGAGTGGAAAACATAAATATCACCACATTGGATTCCTTTTCTTCTTAATTAGAAATTTTTTAGGGCCAGCCCAGTGGTGCCGTGGTTAAGTGCCCATGTTCTGCTTCTCAGCAGCCCAGGGTTCACCAGTTCGGCTCCTGGGTGTGGACATGGCACCGCTTGGCAAAAGCCATGCTGTGGCAGGCATCCCATGTATAAAATAGAGGAAGATGGGCATGGATGTTAGCTCAGGGCCAGTCTTCCTCAGCAAAAAGAGGAAGATTGGCAATAGTTAGCTCAGGGCCAATCCTCCTCAAAAAAAAAAAAAGATATTTTTTATTAAAGTAAAAGATGTAGATAGTTTAAAAAAAATCAAACATTACTAAAAGGCTTCTGATAAAAACAGTCTCCTGATCCCACAGCCTCATTACACAGATGCAACTACTCTGAAGCACTTTAAGCAGTTTGTGATATTCCTTCCATAATTCTAAATGTCATGTTAATAAATGTCCATTATGTCATGCTTACACTGATAATTCCTAACATGAATTTTAAATATTGTTGACTTGCTCTGTTAAAAATATTAAGTTTTAGCTTTCTTATACTACCCAATCATTCCCACTTCCTCTTCCTCCAACCTCTCAATAAAAAATTAAACCAATATTCAGTATTATTATAATCAATACATTATAAGCATGCAGACATTGTTCACAACTAAGCTATGTACTGTACCATGACTTTCTTTCTTGTATATAATCTTTTTTCTCTGATGTTAACTGCCTCATGTTTTTGTTTGTAACTTTCCACATGCCTACACAATAATCAAACACCAAAACTCCTCTCCATTCATTCAAATATTCATTTTCTAAAAATGTTGGCAGTTCTCACCTGCTGTGGTCCCTCTCCTGTTCTTTGTCCTTGTAGGTTTATGCCTTTTAAATTCCATTACTAATATTCTAGCGAGTGTTCAGGAAGGAGCAGCTTAAATAAGTGTGTTCAATCTGCCAGGTTTAGCAAGAATTTAAATATATTCTACCACGAATTTTGACCCGATTAATTTCTTTTTAAAGAAAAGGCTCATTATCTTTATTATTTAATATTTCATTAATTCTAAGGTGCACCTTTTTTTCACATTTCTTCATCTCTGAAATTGGGATGCATCTTACAATCGATGTCTCAGTTTAATTAGCAGCTTTTTTCTCCTTCTTAGCAGTACATAAAATAATAGTGCATCTTATAATTAATGGCATCTTAGAATTGATGAAATAACATTAGATATTCCTACCATCAAAAGATGATACAAAAAAATAACCTAAAATTAAGTATGGGGAAAATTTTAGCATTATTTTCCAAAAGGCATAATTGTTTACCTAGTCAATCAAAAAATCATTTGAGTCCTTGTGCACTGTTGGGAATGTAAAATGGTGCAGCTGCTCTGAAAAACAGTATGGTGCTTCCACAAAAATATTGAAAATAGAATTACCATATGATCCAGCAATCCCAATTCTGGGTACGTTAAAAGCAGGATTTTGAAGAGACTTTTAGACACCCATGTTCATAGCAGCATTATTCATAACAGCTAAGAGGTGGAAGCAACCCAAATGTCCACTCACAGATGAATAAACAAAATGTGATATACACATACAATGGAGTGTTATTATTCGGCCTTAAGAAGGAAGGAAATCCTGTCCTATATTACAACATAGATGAGCCTTGAGGACATTATGCTAAGTGAAATAAGCCAGTCACAAAAAGACAAACACTGTATGATTCCACTTACAGGAGGTATCTACAATAGTCAAATTCATAGAAACAGAAAGTAGAATGGTGCTTGCCAGCGGCTGGAGTGAGGGGGAAATGATTTGTTTAATGAGTTTAGAGTTTCAGTTTTGCAAGATGAAAAAGTTCTGGAGATTCATTCCACAACAATGCGAATATTCTTAACATGACTTAACTGTACACTTAAAAATGGTTAAAAAGGAAAAAAATTTTATCAAATTATAAACCTTGGAAATGCAGTTGACTGTATGTCAATTATACCAGAATAAAGCTGTTAAAAAAAAAAAAAATCATATGAGGGGCTGGCCCAGTGTTGTGGTAGTGAAGTTTGGTATGTTCTGCTTTGGCGGGCCCAGGGATTGTGGGTTCGGATCCCAGGCGCAGACCTATACCACTTATCAAGCCATGCTGTGGCGGCAACCCACATATAAAATAGAGGAAGACTGGCATAGGATGTTAGCTCAGGGCCAGTCTTCCTCAAGCAAAAAGAGGTGGATTGGTAACAGATGTTAGCTCAGGGCCAATCTTCCTCACCAAAAAAAATAAAATAAAATAAATGAGGCAATAGGAGAGTTTGGACAAGTTGCTGAGATACTGCTACAAAAGTAATATTTTACTTTTGCCTTAGTTCTATAATTCAAAAATAATTTCACATGCTCTGCCTTGTTTAAATTTTGATACTCATAAAAAAAAGTGTGAGGTACTACTATTACCCTTTAACAGATCAGAAAATGGATCTCTGCAAAGCTATGCTAAGGATTTACCCAATGCAGAGCTTGTGCTTGAACCAGATATTTTAATTCCTGCCTAATGATTTTTCCACTTCAACAATACAAAGAAAAAAATATTCCATTCATAATTGTAATAAAAATATAAAATAGTTGGGAATTTATTTAAGGGGGCATGTGTGAAACATAAAACTACAGAACTTTATTTGGTGAAACAAAAGAAGAGTTAATACAATAGAAATACTATGCATTTATTTGGGAGTACTACAGTAATTAAAAATTATGATTCTGGGGGCTGGCCCCATGGCCGAGTGGTTAACTTCACACGCTCTGCTTCGGTGGCCCAGGGTTTCTCCAGTTGAGATCCTGGGTGCAGACATAGTACCACTCATTAGGCCATGCTGAGGTGGCATCCCACATGCCACAACTAGAAGGACCCACAACTAAAATAATATGCAACTATGTACTGAGGGGCTTTGGGGAGAAAAAGGAAAAATAAAAATCTTAAAAAAAAAAAGATTCTTCTTCAGTTAAATTATGAATTTAACAAGAATCCAATTAGAATAGTAATAGGATACTTTATAAAGTGTTACAAAATGGGTTAAAAATTATTTAGAAAGTAATTTTTAAAACAAAATATTTACAAGGAAGTAAAAAGTAAAGATAGTATTCACTATGTATATGGTTCTGCTATAAATTCATTATTTATAAAGTCATAATAATATAAACACTGAATACTGATCTAACATATATTATAATTTGACTATATGAACAGAATGGGAGAGATGAAAAGAGGGGTATGCAGTGGGAATGGGGAGGAAATGGACTAAAGTCTCATCTTCTATAGTGGGAAATTAAGAGATAATGATTCAATCTGAAAAATTAAGTAGGAGCAATATAACCAAGTTATAATAGAGACATGGAAGTAAATATAAGACAAAACAAAACAAACAAAACAAAAAACAAAGCTAAAAGAGGTGAAAGTGGTTGCCTATGGGGGGAGATGAAGGTAAGTGGGGGCAACTAATATTTTTCATAAGAACCCATGTAGAACTATTTGATGCTTTAAACTATGTATGTATGATTTTTTTTTTCCTCTGAGGAAGATTCACCCTGAGCTAACTTCTGTGCCAATCTTCCCCTATTTTGTATGTGGGTCACCGCCACAGCACAGCTGCCCCTATGTATGTATGATTTTGATGAAAAGATTTTGAAAAGATACATACCCATAATGATCATTTTCTGTTATTTAAAAAAATAATAAATATATTTTAAACTCCAGGATATCTTCACTTCTTAAACTTACTTATCTTTTGTGAAACGGATAGAACATTTCACAAATTTCACTAAGATCTAAGAGATAAAGCAGCTTACCCAAGGAGTTAGGCTGCACTGGCAAATTACCCACTACATACAAACAGAAAAAGAAATCCAGGAAGATCAGTTCACCCACCTGATGAAAGAAGTAAGTAACAGCAAGGTCATTGTCATTTAAGAGGATTTCTTCTTCTGTAGTAAAAAGCCATTTTCGAATGGTCAGGCAGGTGCCTGGCACAGCTGATGTGTAATTCTGGACGTAGAGTTTATGAGGAAATTCATTAGGTGCCAGCTTACGTACTGAAGAAAAGAGAAAACAAAGAAAGCTAGAGTGAAAAGATATATAAGGAATTTCGCAAGTATAAACTATGTAAGGCAAATCGAGAATGGCAGGTTATCATTAACCAGAACACCAGCATAGATCCATCAAGGAGCTCTGCTTCAGGACCACAAAATAACTATTTGTCTAGCCAAATCTATCCCTTCTAACTATGACTGTGGAGCGCAAACTGACTGAAATCTATCAACTGAAGGACACACCCTTCAGTTAACATGCTGATTTTGCAGACAGCACCTGCTCCAAAGTCAGTTAAAATAACTGATCCATTATCTGGTAAGTTACAGCAACGTCCTCTCCTCCTACCCAGCTCTGGTGCAGTCTCTCTCACGTGGCAATTCTCAATGAACTGCTTTTATTGTCAGGAGCTGAAAGGCTCTCCCTATACCCTCACAACTCTTAAGACATTTATCAAAGTGAAAAGTATCTTCTGAGTAACGTTACTTCCTCTTCCTAACAAGGCACAAGCAGGATAAAATATTACCACTTTAAATTTCTATACTGCTTTTCTTTGGAAAGGCTCAGAGTTTTATTCTCTTGATGTTTACTTGGCTTCATATTACTGCAAAAGACAGATTTAATATTTCCCATTTTATTTATTAACTGAAGCTTAGAAAAGATAGATAAGATTAGAACTCAAGTGTCCTGGTTCCTTAGCAATCCTTTGTAACATTTATATCTGCCTACTTGGACTGTAGGGAGCTAGAAAGATAAAGAATAATAGGGAGATGGCTGCTTCAGAGTGAATCAAAGTTATTTTACCTTGACCAGGGACAGCAAGGTGACCCAAATCTACCAAACTCTCCCCCTTTCTGGCATGAGTAAGGTATGACCAATCAATATTAGCTGTCATTTCTAGCCTTAGCCCTGTCTACATACAATGCGGAAAAGTCCCATACATAAACTGTAGGAAATCTATGTCATTCAGAGCAAGCCCTCAGACTTCTTCCCCTCTGTGGTCTCGATGCAACCAATGTGACCGCCATCCCTAGTTTTTATAAAATAATATATAAGAGAAACTTCCTGTCGCCATGCAATAAAATTTCCCAGGAAGAAGATATCTATTTGCACAGAAACTTAAATATATGCATTAAAGCAAAGGCTTTTAAGCAATGTATCTCTTTCTAACTCCTGAAAACAAAAAGCTATTCTTAAAAATCTACAGAAAGCATGAAGTACACTAAAACAAATTATGGCTAATTAGAACATTCTCTCTTTTTAAGGCTGTTTCATTGGAATACATTAATTTTGAACCTCTGATTTTAAAAAACCTCATGAAATTATCTGCTTCAGTGCTGGGCGCAAGTCACTTATACTTACAAAAAAGGAGACAGGGTCTACAGTGATCAGATACCCTTTTGACTTAGACTTAATGGGATGTGCCCACTCTGCTTGTTGGGGACAGTCCTAACGAGTGGGATCTCTTGTCTTCAAGCTCTTCTCTAGGCAGACAGTTTCATTCTGACAGCTTCTGGGAGCTTCGGTCTGACAGTATTAAAACAAAATACCCCCAAACAAAACTTAGTATTAGCCACTGGCACTTACCAAAGGAATGATTGATCACTTCAAATAAGGCAAAATAATTCACCGTCGTACTGTCCATGCCAACCTTTGCTGCAATAGCCTAAAAGTGTAAATAGCATAGATTAGTTTCAGGGAAACTAAATCAGACAATACTGTGGGAAAAGACAGGTGTATGCATGTGGGAGGAGGAGAGGGGAGGGGTTATGCCATCTTGGTTTCACATAAACTAAATTCACGGTCCATAACTATTCTTCTTTGTATGTACGTGTACATGTATACATGCAAACGTATTTATGAAATAAGAGGAAAAAAATACTAGTATTTGACCCAAACAGCTAGGATCTCTAAATATGAGGTTCTCCTCTCCAATTCAAGCTGATAATAGTCTTTCCTTAAACATCCGCTTTCTTCTCTGACATATGACTTCATCCCACAAGGGTCTTTTTTAACAGCACTTAACAAGAAATGTACCTGTTAAGTATAGATCTTAAGAAGAAAATAAATTCTTATATATCCAGTCTCACACATTCAACCTACATTTAACACAGGCTGTTAACATACAAGATCTATATCTTTGGTTCTTGAGCTTAAAATACTATTTGTCAACTTTGTTCATGCTTCATAGATTATTCTTGTCTATTTTTCAGATGATCCATGTCTCAGCCTGGGGTTTTCCTTTTCCTAAGAATTATCATCATCAATATCCACATGAAAATAGCAAAATGTTGGGACAACAGAGGCATACTGAACAAGCCTTAGTCCTTTTCTCTAGGAACTAAGATCCCAACATGACAAATAAAAAAGAAATGGAAAGACTCCATGTGTAAATAAATGAAAACTGAAATTACATAAAACAACAACAACAAAAACACAAGGCAAAAAACACAAACTAGTGGTACCAAAATTCCTTTTCAAGATCAATCCCTATATAAATTACATGTTAACTGAACAAGATAAAATTGCTGAATATTAGTGTCTCAGTTAACCAAATATGACTACATTCTTCTTCCCATATTTGCCACATTTATCTTTACATATTAGACCTAGGGTTATCACTGATGTGAGGTAGGAACTGGAGAGTGTCAGTGTTCTAAGTTACTGCTCTATACTGCACTGGATAGAAACTGAAATGTTCTCAAGGTTTGGAAAATGGCTTATAGGTAGAAGTCTCAGTAACAGAGTGAGGAGGAAAGTGCAAAAACAATCAGGCCTTGGGGCCAGCCCCGTGGCACAGTTGTTAAGTTCAGTGCGTTCCACTTCAGCAGCCCAGGTCAGTGGGTTCGGATTTTGGGCACAGACCTACACCTCAAGCAAAAAATGAGGAAGACTGACAACAGGTGTTAGTTCAGGGCTAATCTTCCACAGGAAAAAAGAAAAAAATCAGACCCTGCTGGAAAAATATTGGAAAAAACCCAAAACATCAGCAAGCTGTAAAATTAACATTTTTCTTGCAATCACCCCACCACTTATAATTTGAGAAATACCTCAGATTCTGCACATATCCTTTGCCATGGTATACAGTATATGAGTAAAGGTATGGGGATTAGTTTTTGTTTTCCACAAAGGAGAAATAAGCATTAATACCCAGAAACCTGCTAGTCTCCCTGAAAATCTTGATGAAATCAGGATTAAGAGCAACGAAGAGGCCTAAAAGCAACAAATATACCCAGCAGCCAGATTATGATCTTTAAATACAATTTCTAATTGAAAGGACCCAGGACTCCTTGGGAAAATGGCTGACTCTAAATCTAGGGTAGCAAATATACAAAGATGAGCCCAGACATCTTGCTGTACTAAAAAGCAAGAATGCTACTATAAACAAACAGTTTGCATGGAAAGATTATAGGAGCAGACAGGAAGGAGCTTCCATTGGCCTAAGATGGAACAACTTGAGCATCAAAAAGATATATATGCTCGGGGCTGGCTGCGTGGCCGAGTGGTTAAGTCTGTGCGCTCCGCTGCAGGCGGCCCAGTGTTTCGTTGGTTCGAATCCTGGGCACGGACATGGCACTGCTCATCAAACCAGGCTGAGGCAGCATCCCACATGCTACAACTAGAAGGACCCACAACGAAGAATATACAACTATGTACTGGGGGGCTTTGGGGAGAAAAAGGAAAAAAATAAAAAATCTTTAAAAAAAAAAAGATATATATGCTCTTGCTTAAATCATATTAAATATCTAAAAACTCACACGATACTAAAAAAATAAAATAATTATCCCACAGACATCACTGGAATCAACTGGGGCATCAATTCTTTACTCTGAAAATTGGCAATAAAAGGAAAGAATTAAATATTTATACTCCCTTTCCTACAAACTGTATTCCAGGATAACTAAGATTCGGCACTCTCACTCTACCGCCTGGGTTCGTTTCCCGGTCAGGGAACCACATCATCCAACTGTCGGCTGTCATACTATGGTGGCTGCATGCTTCTGTGATGCTGAAAGCTATGCCACCGATATTTCAAATACCAGCGGGGTCAACCATGGTGGACAAGTTTCAGTGGAGCTTCCAGACTAAGACAGACTAGGAAGAAGGACCTGGTCACCCACTTCTGAAAAAATTGGGCATGAAAACCCTACAAATAGCAGCAGATATAGCTGCTATATATGATATAAGTGCCAGAAGATGAGAGGATGGTGGAAAAAGACCGGGCAGGTTCCACTCTGCTGTACGCAGGGTTGCTAGGAGTTGGAGTCAACATGACAGCACTAACAACAATAAAAATTTAGGCTCAGTTGACAAAGAAAAGTTCTTTACAAAGGAATTCTAGTTAATAAATATGAAGAAATGAGACAATTAGAAAATCAGCACTTTACAACCCTTAATGAAATCACTGGTTAAGGCAGCAATCATGGGTGATACGCTCATCTGATAAAAGATCAATGGAGAACTTTACAATGGGGAGATCAGGTTATCACCATCTAAACCTACCGATTAATTACCAAAAGTGGATAATCAGACATTGTGTACCTCCTGTTGAGAAGCAATATGAACTATATTGCACCAATTATGAAGTATTCTTATCAAAAAAGCTGAACTTGAATCTAATCAAGCCTCTGGAGCAAACTTCCATTTATGGAAAATATAAGGTGACAGAAAGACATATTAAATGATACAAACAGACAAAAGAAACAAACAACAAATTCAGAATGTAGAACATTCCACAGGACACAGACTCAATTTCTACAATAAAACAATAACACAAAAAAAAAAGGAGACTGCTCTATATTAAAACAAACACAAAAACCAAATGTGATATAAGGACCTTGTTTAGATCCAGATTTTAACAAACCAACTAAAAAAAAATCATTTTTAGACATTTGGGAAAATTTGACTATGGATTTGTTATTAGTTAATATCAAGGGAGAATTTTTTAGGCTTGATAATGGCTTTGTGATTATGTAAGAAGAACGTCCATATTTTTTAGACATGTACACTAAAATATATACCAGTCCAATAACATGGCATTTGCTTTAAAATATTTAAACAAAGGAAAAGGAAAAAAGGATATATAATGCAAACGTGGCAAAATCTTGATGATTATTAAATATGAGTTATGGGTACATGGAGGTTAACTGTACTACATATTGCGTCTCTATGTATGTTATAAAGTTTTTTCAATTAAAAAGAGTGGAGGTAATCACGACCCCCACAACCTGGGATATTTATGGCATCTTTCTTTCAAGGAGGACAAAATACTTTTACATCAGCAACAATAACAACAATAGTAGTTAACATTCAATAAACTTATTATGTGCCAGATACTCCAAGCACTTTATATGTATTAACTCATTTAATCCATCTTCCTTAGCTCTGAACCATCCACTGTCAAGTCTACTTGTTCAAGTTTAATTTACCTGGTATACTTGGTCTGTAGTACTGTTCTTTTTAACTCTGACTGTAACTGTTGTTCCATCTGGTAATGCTACTCTCAGCTCTACGTCGGACACACCATTGTAGTTCTGGGGGAAAAGACATAAAGAAAGAATTTACGACCCCGTACAATCTCACTTTCCTTGTAACATGCTAAACAACAACTTAAACGTGATAAAGTGAGTTCCAACGAAAAGCAGAAAAAAGACACACCTTAAGTGAATACATTTACAAGTCATAAAGCTGACTTTAGGTTGCAGCAGAAGTTAACGTTTAAGATGGACAGGGAAGAAAGATATATGTTGAAGTCAATGTGTTCACATTTCAAAACAGGAAGCTTGTGTGAAGCAGTCTAGGTCAAATATAGATGAGATTTTTGGCCTACTTCCAAACATTCAGAACTCACAAATGAGAAAAAAAAAAAAAAACAATTGAAAGCAGTAGTTTCAACAAATATTCTCTGGTTTTAAATGGTTATGCATGCTAAATTGGCTCAAGTAGGATCCTAAGTTCCTTTCTGAACCCTGAAATAATCATGACACTTTTGAAAGGAAAAATGAATGAAACTCAGGAATCTGAGTTAGTCTGCTGCCCAATTTTCTTCTAGCAAAGAGTAAACAATTCTTATCTTCCTTAATTCAAAAGAAATCCTTCTCTCTTATTGCTTTTGGTGATTAACACATTCCTCTAACAGATTTTTGACTTTATAATTTTTATTAGAGAGAAACAACTATTTAGGAATCAGTCCATCTTCATTTACTATTTTAAAAAAAAGTACCATCACCTAAAACCACCCTAAGCATTACTTTGTTATAAACCCTTGTCTGCAAGAAACTTATAATCTAGTTTGGAAAATAATACATACATGCATAAAATAATTAGTAGATAACACACTATTTAATATAGTAGCATTACATATTCATTATTCTATTCAATTAATATTTATTTATTTATTTTATTTTATTTTTTTTTTTTTTAAAGATTTTTATTTTTTCCTTTTACTCCCCAAAGCCCCCCGGTACATAGTTGTGTATTCTTCGTTGTGGGTTCCTCTAGTTGTGGCATGTGGGACGCTGCCTCAGCGTGGTCTGACGAGCAGTGCCATGTCCCGGCCCAGGATTCGAACCGACGAAACATTGGGCCGCCTGCAGCGGAGCGCGCGAACTTAACCACTTGGCCACAGGGCCAGCCCCTCAATTAATATTTATTGCTTGACATTGTAGTTAAGGGAAAATAAACTACACTTGACATTGTAGATAAGGCAATGGGAATATAAAGATGATCGAGACTTAGCTCTTGTTCTGGAGATCTAATGTACAGCATGGTGACCTTAGTTAACAATACTGTCTTATACACTTGAAATTTGCTAAGAAGGTAGATCCTGTGTTCTCAACACAAAAAGAAAGAAATAAAATGGTAATGAAGTGATGGATATGTTAATTAACTTGATTGTGGTGATCATTTCATAACATATACATATATCAAAATAGCAAATTGTACACTTCAAACATATACAATCCTATTTTTCAATTATATGCCAATAAAGCTGGAAAAAAAAGATTTCACTCTTACCTAGTAGCTCATACTCTAGTAAACTAAAAATATAAAGTGATAATCTGATTATATGTATTAAAAAATTAGAGAATAAGATAGCAACAAGGTGATAAGTGGTACTGACTACAAAAGTTCTTGGTGGATGAAAAATCGATGACTTGAGTATCAGGGAAGCCTTCAAAGAGAAGGTGGACTTAGCACTAGGTCTTGAAGGATATGCAGGGCACATAAGAAAAGGAAGCTGAGGGGCCAGCCCAGTGGCACAGCGATTAAGTTGGCACGTTCCACTTAGGCGGCTGGGAGGTGGCCGCTTCAGATCCTGGGTGCGGATATGGCACCACTTGGCAAGCCATGCTTAGTAGGCATCCCACATATAAAGTAGAGGAAGATGGGCACAGATGTTAGCTCAGGGCCAGTCTTCCTCAGCGAAAAAAGGAGGATTGGCAGCAGTTAGCTCAGGGCTAATCTTCCTCAAAAAGAAAAGAAGAAAGAAAAAAGAAAAAGAAAAGGAAGTTGAAAAAATAGTCATTTAGAGAATTTACGGCAATTCAATACATACTCGATATCTTTAATTTATTTTCCCCCACAAGGAGTCAAGAGGCAAATAGTCACTGGAGGGGGTATTCACCTACCTCATCTGATTCCGACAGGAATTCCTGCATGATGTCACTCTCACCAATGACTCGTATTGAGCACACTGTAGAAAACAAAGATAGAATCTGGCATGAGGCCCCAAAATCAAGAATATAAAATCATGGGGCAGGCCCGGTTGCACAGCAGTTAAGTTTGCACGTTCTGCTTTGGTGGCCCGGGGTTTGCTGGCTCGGACCCCGGGTGTGGACACAGCACTGCTTGGCAAGCCATGCTGTAGTAGGCATCCCACATATAAAGTAGAGGAAGATGGGCACAGATGTTAGCTCAGGGCCAGTCTTCCTCAGCAAAAAGAGGAGGAGTGGCAGCAGATGTTAGCTCAGGGCTAATCGTCTTCAAATAAATAAATAAATAAGAATATAAAGTCAAGAACATATCAAGGTTTAAGTGTAAATCACCAATAACGGGCAATGCTGAAGTAGTATGCCATCCCTGACATACGAGATTTTAAGGCACAACAAACATTCATTATAATATGAATTAGAACAGGAATAATAGGATGCATCAAAGATGTAGCCTGCTAAAAATATTAAACATACCCAAAGGAAGTCACCTCCAAAAAGAGAAAAGTTCAGTAAATCTAATTTTGCAGTCTTGTGTGAACTATTAACAAGCTAGACAACAGAGCAAGCGTGAGGTCAATTAGGAATAAACCAAACACAAAATGGAAATACAAAAGGAAAAATATCTATTTGGCTTAGGAACAGGCCAGTCAGAGAACCATAAGCATTTAAAGCCACTTTGGGAAAAAAAAGAGTAGATAATTAAGTATTAAGCTGAGCACATCTTCTTATCTCACTAACTTTAGCTTCCAAACAACAGCAGCCAAAAAGAAGAAAGAAAAGGGGGAGGGCCCAATGGCACAGTGGTTAAGTTTGTGTGCTCTGCTTCAGCAGTCCAGGGTTCACAGGTTCGGATCCCAGGCATGGACCTACACACTGCTCATCAAGCCACACCGTGGTGGTGTCCCACATACAAAATAGAGGAAGACTGGTGCAGAAGCTAGCTCAGTGACAACTTTCCTCAAGCAAAAAGAGGAGGACTGGCAACCAACGTTAGCCCAGGGCCAACCTTCCTCACCAAAAAAAGGAAAGATAGGAAGGAAGAAAAGCAGGCAGGTAGGTAGCTAATTGTCTAAATCTAAGAAAGTTAATTTCCTGACACTCTCATGAGGATGGTAAATTATGCTAGTGATGTTACCTCATTTTATTTAAAAAAATTGTACCCTTTCTCATTTCCCAAGGGCTGTGTTTAGAGGCTATTTCATGTTGGAAAAAAGCTAAAAACAGATGAAGTTTCACTACTTGATATGGGGGAAATGGTTTTTCTTCAGGGATAAGGGTAAAGTTTTAAAAAATTTCAACTAGGTCAATTAGTTCTTATACCAGGACACAAGAACATGAATTACTAAATATCACACAAGACCATTATTCTATTAAATTACTATTTTAAAGAAAAGCCTAGTGCACAGCTAGCAAATTATATAACTCTATAATATGGCGAAGCAAGGTCTCTTCTTTGAGCCACAAAATGAATTGTCTTATTCAGAAGATCTGTGTCATTTCCCCCTGCCTTTCTAGATAAAGAAACGTTTCAGCATCCACATCCACAGAATCCTAAAGTATTGTCTGGAAGTCCTGAAATAACAAGTAAGTTTCAGTACTTCTCAGGACAAGGGGACTTTAGACTACCTACTCTCAGCAAACCTACCCATGGACACCTATAAGAGAAACAAGGAGTTTTCAAGTAGGATATGCCAGTGAACTAAGAATCATTTTAACAAAAATGTCTTAAATGCTGACCACTTAGTTCCCAAATCAACTCAGCATGTCGATGAGTCCTTCTGTATGTGTTTGCTGCCAAACAATATAAGCCTATAAATAAAGATCTTTAATGCATCAAAAACTAATTATGCATCTTTCTACCACTGTTAAGTGCTCAGGGAGTCAATAAAATAAGCTATTTATCACTGTATTGGACATTTCAATCTTGGTTTCAAAGTTGAGATCATTCAACACCTACGGTCAGAGATTTGACTTACTTTCACTATTGAGTTTCAGGAAACTTCGCTATGCAGTTTAGGAGTTGCAGTATATACCTAGACCCTATGTTTACTCAAGATAGTAGTTTAATAGGTCGGCTTACCTTTTTCTAGGTATTCTTCCAACCCCCGACGTCGGGCATCTAATTGCTGTTCTGATAAAGAGAATGGCCACTTCCCTGGAAGTCGGGGAAATGTAAAGTTGGCAAACTCTCTCTTCAGGTTCTGGTGTAGGATGGCAAACTCCCGGTACCGCTTGGAACACAGCTGCCTCCCTGCCATGTAAACATTGTATACCTGGTGAGGGGGAAGAACAAAAAAAAGCCTACTTACTCAAATAAATTACAGAATCATCTAAAGTCAGGCTCAGACGGATATTGGTTAGCTATATTATGCTATGCACTTAGAGAATATGATCAAGGTCATTGTAAAAGAAGACTTACTTTTAATAAACATGCCAGAAATTGTATGTACAAAAGAGGGCTGCTCCCTTCAAGGGGCCCATGATCTTATTTTTGCTATTAAAATTACCTCTAACACACTGTTTTAAATATCTTCAAAGGCAATTATCAGCTTTAAAGAGTGGATTTTATTTTCAGAAAGTTTAAAGTCATTTGAAGCCAATGTGGTAAATCTATAGTGAATGAACAAGCAAGCAAATTTGGAGAGAGATGTAAAAGGCTAGGGTTGATTATAAAACAACGTGGCTGATATTTGTGTGTAGCCCAAAATTCCAAAGAGAAGTTCTAAAAATGATGTAAGCGATGGTGGCATTTTTGCTATCAAACAGATCATTTTCACAAAAACTCCTTTCCTGAAGTGAGATATCTCTAGTTTTGTTCTTCTCCCTTCCATCATTAAAACAGGTTAACAAAACATTGAACAATAAATGTACTCTAAGGACTTCCTTGTAATAATAGTTAAAAATCCTCAGGAAGAAATGGGTAGAGATTTTTGCCTATTGTTCACAGATGCATGCCAAGCTCCTAGAGCAGGGCCTGGCACATAGAAGGCACTCGATAAATCTATGAAGAAGAAATAAATGCACGTATGTGCAATTCTTTAAAATGTGCCCTTATAAAGGAAAGTGGTACAATGCATAATACAAAAACATCAAGTAATCCAAGTTACTTTGTATTCTCAGAACACATCAAATAATGCACAGATGGAAAAATTAGCCCCAAATCACATTTACTTGCTTAGCAAAAATCATTCAGAATTTTAAATGTACACAAAACAGGTCATCTACTCATGTAATCAAGAGTTAATCACCGAGAATGTATAGACCAAAGAGATAATCACAGCAAAGCTCTGACTTAAGCTTCAAGCTCAAGAAGAATCTTTCCCATGTTTCTGTGATTTAGGAAGTATGAATTAAATGCAAAAATAAAATAATTTATTCATTCAAAACTCCTCTCCCACAACTCTCCTCCTATCATCCCTCTCCCAAATTAAAGCAAAGCCTCTAATCACTGTCAAACAGCCTCCACGGATGTGTGTGATCCTGATCAATGAGTTTTCTTCCTGTGATTATTGCTTAAATTTGTAACTGACTGTAACGAATCACACATATTACCAAGTATTCCCATCACTGCCTTCCGAAGTACAAAACTATCCAAAGGAAAATGGTCTTCCCTCAGACAAGACCACATATTCTCTCTGCTGATGTTATAAATCAGCCCGAGTTCCTCAATCAAGGAAGGAAGGGAGGGAGGGAAAACTAGCTAGTGGCATTCTAGTTTCCAAGATATTCTCCAATGTCTTTTTGCCAAGGAAAGAAGAGTAGGTCTTTGATAATGCACGGAAGACTATGACTGCATTTCCTCAGTGGTGATCAGTGGAGTGATCTCAAGTCCGATAAAGTATTTCCTAGGATATAAAGAAGTCTAGAACTTGAGAGGCCCTTATGACAATTTCAACAGAAACGAAAATTTATTCAACTTTCAGTTTCTTCATAACGTGAGAAGAGTATCATCAATAGCCTCTCACCCACCTCTCCCCTTCTATTTAAATGTGAAGTCAAAGGGAACTGAAATATAAATAGGATGCCTGGCGATTCAGTAATACTTTAATGCAAGTAGGAATGGCTTCCACGGGAGGCAAACCATTTTTAAACTAACTGTGCTTAGCAAATGAGAAACATACAAAAAGAGATCACAACAGAGACTGCTTTGTTCTTCACTTGTCCTTAAAATTAACCAAATCCATTAGTATTCATTTCCCTGGTTTGGACACACTCATTTGCAAAAAAAAAAAGACTGAATCACTTAATCCCTGCTGAAGTCTTGTGCCTAAAAATCATGAATGTCGATGGTCCATGAGAAACAAATCATAGGCTCATTACAAATGAGAATATCCATCAAAAAATATACTTTCTGGACTTGGAGGGAACATAATCAAGTAAGAACTAAAGATAATACACAGGCAGGCAGTGCTTCCGGGATCTTTCCGTCTTAATTTAAACCCTCAGCCTGGTTGGCTCATACATGGAATCAGATGAAGTTAGTCGCTTGAGAGAGTACACTGAATTCAACGATTACTAGTCACTCTCTTTTCCAACTGACCATTTCCTACAACATGTCAAGTTGGAATGTTCAGACTGCAAAGCCAGCTGTCTGAGGGTAACAAGTTTCAGTCCTCTTAACAAGATACTCTTTGCTGAGTTAGACTTCAATAAGAGAAAAGGGATGAATTATGAGCAGGGAAAGTGTAAAACTTATCTTCATCAGTGATCTAATTTTGTCTCTCTGGATTCTAAAAGTCAAAGTTTCAAAATTAGGCTTCAAAATAATTTCTAAATATGTAAATGTTGAAAATCCATGCCATGCCTCTCTCTCTCTATCCTTATGACTTAGTTCTATGGAATGAATGCCAGAAGATGGTAACTGATAAATTCTTACAATGAGCACAAACGACTGTAGGGAAAGCAATTCTAGTAATATCTGGAATCTGCATGCAACAGCAAAAACCGAAATTCCAGATATCAGAGATCTTTGTTTTGTTGGTTCCTTAACCTCAACCTCCATATTTTTTAAGGCTTTTAAATAGTAATATCTTATTTTATGTAGGATCTGAATATTAAAATGTTCTCATTTTCTCAAACCTCTAGTAACTGACAGGAATTGTGCTACCGAACACACAGAAGATAATCTCCTTATACAGTGCAAAAGTGATTAGGAAAAAAGTGGAATGATAACATTTTGGTCATGGCAATATCATCCAAGTTCAGCTTCCAAATGTCAAATAGACATTGAACTGTTCACGCTATTGATCTGGATGAATCTTCAATGTACATTATGACCAACAAATTGTTTCCAATGCCACCCTACCATTTAATCTTATTCTTAGCTGAAAATTCATCTTTAAAAGGACATAATTTTTGCCATTCACAAGCTGCTTATAATAGCAAGAGGAGATAGAGCACTCTTAGTTGATTTCTAGGTGAAATCTGTGAGATCCTTAACTAAGATATTCTTCCCAAATGATGAAGTATTTAGGCTCCTTCCTGGAAAGAAAACAAGCATAAAGGCAACAATATGCTCTTGAATAACTTAGGTTTACTGTGTGTGCATATGCGTTTTCCCTAATGTTGGATACTAAATGGTCTCTATTACTTTTCTTTTTCCTTATTTGAACCACAGGTGTACAGAACTGGATTAATCACAATCCATGGTTCATAACACAGACTCATTACGGTGAGTTCTTTGTTTGGATATTTAACTAGTTATCTTTAATCTTGTAAAAAGTAAACTAAAAGCTAAGACCTTGACAATAACTTAATTTTTGCCAATGGAATGGGTGTGAAAAGATTACTCACTGTGGTCCTAATTTACATTTCTCTAATTACTAATGATGTTGATCACCTCTTCATACATTTATTGGCCATGTGAGTGCCTTCTTCTGTAAAATACCTATTCATATGTTTTGCCCACTGCTATATTGAGTTTTTGTGCTTTTCTCATTGATTTCTAGAGTTCTTTATATGTTCTTGACATAATCTTCTTCATTTGTGTATACTATGAATATCTTCCAGTGTGTCATTTGCCTTCTCACTTTATTTAAAGTATCTTGATTTTTAAAAAGTTCTCAATTTTAAACAAGTCCAATTTATGAATATTTTTATAACAAGTGCCTTCTGTGTCTTAAGAAATTTTTTGCTATCCCCAGGATCTAAAAGCTATTCAACTACACTTTCTACTAAGAGCTTTTAATTTTTTATTTTGTTATTTAAGTTCTTAGTCCAACTGGAATTGATTTTTCTATATGGTATGAAATAGAATTCCATCAGTATTTCTTTTAAAGCCAAGAACATTTAAAATCAAGTTTTAATTAAATTACTCATAAATAAAAATATTCTGCTTTTACAGGACAGTCTGGGAACTTCTGGGTGGTCTGGAATTAACCTCCCACTGTAAACACCTAGAAAACTGAACACAATATAGGAAACAACTACTTTCAGAATTGGACGACAGGGAGACACAAACTGTGATCCCTGGGAAAAGGGAAACAAACAAGGTAAGCCCTACCACAACCTAGGCGTTCTGCCTAGAGGTAACTCCCGAATTGCAGCTCAGAGAGGGGCACCCAAAAACAGAGTTCAGCAACTTCAATGAGCTGAGGAGACAGAGACTGGAGTTCAAGAAGGCCAAAGCAGCCAGAATCTACAGGGAGCTTTAGAGAAAAAGCTCCAGAAATCTGCATAGGATCTCCTTGAATTTTGGCTGAATAACAATTCGAGGAAAGATCTATTACCAGAGTGAGCTGTAAAATGAACAATTCCTGGAGTTCAAAGAGGATCTGGAATAATTTGACTTCCCTCCAGCCAGAATAGAGACCTCCCTTGAAACTACATGGCATTCAGAAGAGAACTCAAAAAGGCCATGCTTTAGGAGTGGGGCTAAATTATTTCCAGAGTAAAAGCTACTCTAAACTCACCCTAAAAGATCTTAAAAACAAACCTCAAAAGGATAAAAGTAATGTAAGTAATTTAACTGCATGCCAGCAAAAATATCCAACACTCTTTAAAGGAATATAACAAAACCTAATATCCAATAGCATTAAATTCACAGTGTGTAAAATCCAATCGAAAATAACTTGACATACAAAGATGTACGAAAATTTGACCTGTAACCAGGAGAAAATCAGTCAGTAGAAACAGACTGAGAAATGACAGAGACAAAAGAATTAGCAGACAAAGACATCATAGGCTGGCTTCTGCTACTGTTTGGGATTTAGAAAACTGCAAGAACAGCAATCCCACTCCAGACATAACAGAGTTCCCACTCACTTGCAAGTCT